ATGTGATATCTGTGACCTAAAACCAGGGTTTCAAGTGGGTTCCATTCATGGAACTGGTTATGTATAACTGCTTATATGATCTGCATGTGGGTCTTTATGACTATCTCAAGTGAATGTGGGTCTTTATGACCATCCCAAGTGAATATGGGTCTTTATAACCAAGTGGTTTGTTAGTTAATGGTTGTACCACGTATAACTGGTTGAGAAATTTGTATAAGTATGTAAATCTGAATTTGTTCTGATCTGAAATCTGATTTTTGAATCTGTCTTAGACATCATTCATAAACCCTTCACTCTGTTGTTATTCACTAGGCTCCAACTCATTGTATTATTTATGTATGTAGGTGATCAGGCGCGTGATCAGACCTAAGTTGCTACCTATGTAAGGCCCCTAAAATATGTATTTACTTTTAAGACCTTAATGATGAATTATTTTCTTAAAGCCCTCGTTTACTTGAATTAATTCGAATCTTGTCGGTTAGCAATTTCTATTTTTATTTTTATCGAAACATAAATTTCTCTAACTAGATTAGTTTCCCTAACTTAATTTAATTCTACCTAGGTTGCATGTAATTAACTTCAAGCCCTCACTCTTTATTTAAATTTTAAACTTACCCCAAATTAGTACTTGTACCTTGTACCCTAGTATACCATCAATCTTGCAATATATATATATAGGTATATATACACCTTGAGGGATGTGCCTAAGACCAAAATTAATAAAATAGTCACCCAACACACTCTCCCAAGGCTGGCCCTCCTAGGGAAGGGAGAGAGGAGCCAATTTTCAAGGACTATGATTAAGATATTCTAGGAAATCCAAACCTAATGACCTAGACCTAGGTTGCAAATCTCAAAACTAGTTACCTTTCAACTAAAGATCAACTAATTAATGCCCAAACCTATGATTTAGCACCTTAGTTACTCCTATCCCATTTGACACCATCCAAAATCCTAGCTTTCCCATCCATTTTCAACTAAAGGGCTTTTATGTCCTTTTACACCAAAATTGCCTATATATATCACACCTCCCTAGCTTACAAACTCACACAACACACTCACTCACACACACATTTTGGTTAGAGAGAGGGAGGAGAGCAAGGAAGAGAAGTCTAGAGGAGAAGAGAGAGGAAGAGGAGAGTTCTTGTGCAAAGCTTGGAAGGTAAGCCACAAACACAACCTTCTCTTCGTTTCCTTTTCTAATGCATGTTTTTGAAGATTCTAAATAATGTTTTCCAGATCTGTTATTATCAAGTTTTTATGTTAAAAATACTAAGATTTGAGTATTGAGTCCATCTCTCTTGTATTTCCCCATTTTGGCACAAAACCGTCTTCTTTTTGTACCAATCTCTCAATTTTTCAAGGGCACTCCTTCAAACAAATTTTCTAAGTTAAACATGGGATAGTTAGCATATTTTCCTCACAAAAGAAATGAAACTTTCCCATGGTGGAACCCCCTTTTTATAAATTTTCTTGTTTTGGGCATTCTACATTAAAACCTGTTTTTGCAGTCAACTTTCAAAAATTCCAGAAAAATATACAAAAATATTCTGAACCTCTATTGTATGTCAAAACCTTCCTTCAGAAGTTAGCTTTCAACTAAAATTGGTTTCATCGAAAAACATTGAGCGGTTTGCAAGAAAATCAAGTTTTCGTAACAGTCGACGGATCTGGACAGATTCTGGACAGATCCTGGACAGTGCTGAGATACTTTCTAAATCATCTAGAATCCGGAGGAACAACCCCAATTTCGAAAAATGTTCTATAAACCAAATCGAATCCTCTATAAACCATAGGAAGGCCAAGCCGGTAAAGGGTCTAAAATAGCTCTTTCATCTTAATCTTTATGCGATAGTTAAATCTGGAAACTTTTGTTAGGTGTGGATATCTTGTACCTTTGAGTTCATGAGAATGTTTGCAGCTTATAATCATATCTTGATCTGATAATATATGTGTTGTGGTTATGTTATTTACCTTGCCCATCTTAAGATTTCATGCACATATGGATATTATTGTTTTATAAGTTAAGCTAGTATTGTCTTAAAACACTTAATTCAACGGGAAACCTAATTGGGAGGGTACTGGGTTTTCGAACATTTGAGTAATGACAAGATGAGAAAATGTGATATATGGATAATTGGGAGGCGTTCCCTTTTTGAAGGTTAAAAGCCTTGCGCAAGTGATTTTCGGAACCCTTGAACGGAGCGGTTGTATTCGGACCCTAGATAGTTGGTGTAAGGAGGGAGTTGGGCAAGGCCCTATTTGTACCGTCTCTTTTGAGGCCCTGCCGTTGGCGCTACGCGGTATAGAACTGTTGGTAGGCATCCAAGGTTAGTTCTGCAACAAAGCAGCAAAAGAGGGGGCATACCGAATAATCCGCGTCCGATTCTTGTGGTTGGGAGGACGGAATCTCTTTGGGGGATTTCTAGTTAACTGACATCTAACTTAACCATTTAATTATGTATTTATTTATTGAAATATCATGCTTTGCTACTTGATGTTATATTTTGTGATTGTGTATTGGACTGGGAAAAAGGGATGGGGTGTGTGTGTGTGTGTTTACTGGGCATTCAAAGCTCACGGCGTATCATGCCAGGTGACGAAGCGGAACTCATAGCAAAAGGCGACGAGCCAGAAATCTTTGAAGACTTTTGGCTATCTTAGGAATACTAGAAATTTCCTTTCTGTTATTTTGTAAGACTCATGTGAAGTTTAAAACTTTCTTTTTGGGATGTATTGTAATAGAACAATCTTTTGAAGCAAGTGTAATTGTGGCTAGTAAGTATTTATATCCTATGTATGTACCTTATTGTTGCTTATGAGACCTTGTGTCAATGCCTTGTAAGATCTGTCAAAAAGGTAGTGCGCTACCTAAGAAAGCTGGACTTAGAATGGAGGCTATTTGACTCCTCCGGCGATCTGGAATCTTACTTGATTATTGACCATAGGACTCACTAGTGACTTTCCCTTGATTGCAACCTATAGTGTAGAATCGGGGCGTCACAACCTAGATCTATTTTGTGTCAGCCAACCTGTGCGCCTCCCAAGGAGGTTCCCGGAATGCTTCAAGTGGTCGAAATTTGTGAACTACATTTAAGCCTTTTGTTTATTTTGTTTTAAGTCTAATCAAGTTCTTATATACTCTGTATATTAGGCTAAGTCCCATTTTGATTTATCTGTATATAAGATGACGTAAGGCTGATGTGACAATGATATCATATATGTAAATAGAAGTTATAAATTTTTTGTTCCATATACGTCTGCACAGCTCTATAGACATTATATGATTGTATTTGCTTCCGCTAGCCCCTTATTTTGTTAAACTGTTTCAGAAGCCTTCAGTAATTCCAGGATTACTGACCGATTACAATGTTAAACCTATAGGGGCGGGTTTGGGTCGTCACACCAAGCGATTGTGTCAGAATTGAGATCATTATATAATCATGAGTACATATATAGTGTTGAGGTTAAGCATGTTTATGAACTATGACTCACGAGGGGTTTTGAAATGTTTGACCTCGTGTGATCCAATGAATCTGGGGTGTGAACGAGATATTTTGAGTGATTTGCTAGGTTAGTTCATGGTGACTTAATATTGCACTCTTACCTTTACACCTTAAGTTGGACGCTCTATTTTTTCGTATGAGTATTCGTATGAGTAGTAGATTGAATGAGAGATTGACAAATGACAGTTGCGAATATAACTAATGATGTGGACAAGTGGGAGATGTTAGAAATTGAGTCAGATTTGACTTGACCCATTACCCATGGAATGTCCATATGGATTATTAATAATTCACATGATTTGTAAATAAGATAATTAAAAGATTATCTTTCGGTAAAGGTTTGAGTTGTGGGAGATTACAACTCCACCTCTATCGGTAGTGAATCTCTATACATCTGATATAGGGAGAAAAATAATATATGTATTATTCGTGTGGGAGTTTAAACAAAAAATCTCTACAAAATATTCCTCTTTGTTCTTCCCTCCTATGTCACCATTGTAAAATCTAAGGATTTGGAGTGTGGATATAATATTAAGAAACTCTAATAACTTCTTAATGAAAAATATTTCAGACCACTAATTTAATACCCACTAATACACCACTAATGATATGACACCATGTGGACTCCATCACTGGTGTGATAGTTTGGCCTTTGTTTTTTGTTTTTTTTTTTTTTTCTTCTTGCACTGCCAGCTCATTAGAGCTGGCATTAGTACTACCATTTTAGAGCACTGAATCATTGCTGGGTCTTGATTGACAAAGGGTTTTCCAAATGAGGCTTGTAATTCAAGTGTCCGATCCAAATCGTTTTCACATCAAGTAATATGGTTACCCGTGTTATTTTTATTCAACTATATATAGTAGGTGCTTGGAAAGTTGCTATTTTAATAGGTTATTTTAATTTTCATCTATTTTAGTAAGCTAAAAATCTGTGTTTAAGAGGATAGATTTTTTTTGTAATTGAATGTGATGTTTGTAAGAAAAAAAATGAAATAATTATACATTTTGACATTTTATCTTATTAATTATTTTAGCATATTTTGTCCTTTTGTAAATTTTAACCTTAAAAAAAAGGCTAAAATCCAACTTGCCAAACACTCCCCTCAAGTGAACATGTTATTTGATGTCCAAACCTTCTTTTCGACAATGCTACGTAGCTCAAATTTTGTGGCTCAAAAGTGGCTCAAATGGCCAAAACGACGTCGTTTTGAGTACAAAACAACATAAAAATGGCCAAAACGACGTCGTTTTGAGTACAAAACAACATAAAAATGGCCAAAACGACGTCGTTTTAGCCATTTGAGCCACAAAATTTGAGCTACGAGACATTTCCCCTTCTTTTTATGCCATGTTTATTTCTTAGAGAAATATAAAATTAAATATTAAGGTGATAAAAGGGACTTGAACCTAAAATCATTGGTCTAATAAACAATACTTCTACCACTAAAGCAATAGACACTATATTTTTAATTCAAAATCAAAATGTATATTTTATAGATTTAATATGACATTTATTGGGTGACACTCACCCACTAGTGTATATATATATATGAAGTGTTGTTCAGGACACCGAAACAAAAATAAAAAATAAAAGAAACCTTAATGTAGAGAGAGAGAGAGAGAGAGAAAACAAAGACGTTCAGTGAATAATTAATTAAACAAAAAGCATACACAATCATGAGACAAACAGGAGGATGGTTATTAGTTATTTATGCCATCTATTTCTAACAGTCCGTGCTGCTGCTGCTGCTCATCCTCCTATTGCAAATATTGAGTGGGTGAGCGAACGAGCAGATGTCATAATACTTTGGACTGTATTATGCGAAACAACCTCATCCTCATCTTCATCCTCATCCTCATCCTCATCCTCATCCTCATCAAGCAAGACTACCCCTCAACATATTCCATCGCCTTCCTCTTAACAGATTCAATCCTTTCTTCATCATCACCTACAGACTTTTCATACTCCAAATACTTTTTGAATAAGAACTGCATTTCCAACAAACCACACTTACTCACACACTCATGTGACAAGGAAAGTCTTAAAAACTAAATCTTCAGCATGAGCACGAAAATAAAAAACAAAACAAAACAAAAACAAACTTAACACACACCTTCATCCTTTTAGGTGGAAGGCTCAAACTTGTTGCCCTCTCAAATAATGCACGAATCACATCCACATCACCAAGTCGAATTTCCTGTTTGTTAATTTTTTTTTAAGACAAATTTTAATGCATAAAGCAAACTATATTTTTTTATCATGCATTGTTGAAAATAAACAACAGAAATAGAAGAAAAGGATTTTTACTTGATCAAGATAAATGCTCCACAAATCTGTTCTCTTTGGGTACTCGCGAAGCATTCCCTCAAACATGGATCGCCCTCTATCAGGAACCCCACATTTGAACTCTAGAATAGCTGCTTGCGAGAGGAACTTAATGTGCTTATGCCGGGGAAGGCATACAACAGCTCGTTTTACAATAGACTGAACTTCATCCTGATTTTGATTCAAAATCCACTGAATCCGCCTTAACCAAACCTATAAAAAATATAAATTAATAAAAAAAACGTATAGTGAAGTCTAGTAGATTAATTTGATAGCTCCGCTGCTCGAGGAAAAAACAATAACAATACTCTAGTTTATTATATCATAAAAATACCTTGCATGAATGCTTGAATTTCTTGCTCATTTTGTTGAGAAGCTCGTCAACCAACTTGTGTTGCTCAGTCCTTTCATACATACCCAACAGTGCCAGATGCACCTTTTTGGGATCACAATACTGCAATGCTCTTCCAAATATTTTTGAAACGGCGTCCTGAAGAGAAAAACTAAAGTAAGAAAACTCCTAGAAGCTATTGAAATGATACTGATGGTGAGAAACTCCTAGAAGCTATTGAAATGATACTGATGGTGAGAGAGTTTTTTGGAAACAAGGCAAAAGGATATACATGTATAGTATATATATTTTACCTCTGGAGGATATCCATATTCATTCTCTAAATTAAAATAAGCCACCCATACATTCAACTTTTCAGATTCTTCTCGGATGTTTATTGTCTTCAAAGCCCTAAAGAACACAACACAAACATAGAGTGAGAAGCAAACTAGCACATATTATGAACATTAAAGCCAATTTGTGGACGTGCATTTATTTTATTTTTTTGATGCAACTAGCTACTGCTGACACAAAAAATGGCATGTTGGTTCAACCACAGCATATTTGATGAAGGGAATATAAGGTAAAACCAAAAAAATTTGAATGTAGAGAAAAATGAAACCAAAGAAGAAAGAAACAAAGAAAAAAAAACAAAGAACAAATCAATACAATAAGACATCACGTGACCAGAAAGCAGAAATGCAATTCAGGACCCACAATAATGTCAATTCTCCGCTTCAAGTCCAAGATCACTAATCCACTTTCACATCCTGTTCAGATATTCTCGCTTTTTCTTGACAAACAAAAGCTTACACACAAGACCATGCACTCATATGTGCCATGTGGCTATCCACTCAACAAATCAGTCTCATTATTTTGAAAATTTAAGGTTTAGCGTTTACTTTTCAACTCAAATTAAACAAGCCTTTGTCTCAATTATCTCAGCTCAATTTGAATATTTTCTTTCTTAATACCACCGGAGAAATGCTTATTATAACATTGATAAAAGCAGGCAGTGGATCGGATCCCATTGTTAATAACTTTCAGTATTTCCTGTTAAAAAATAAATCATAATAAGGAGAATAATAACAATAAAAAGACACATTTAGGGACAAAATGTTTTGCTTGAAGCAAAAATTTCAAATAAGATTTAAAAAATAAAATAAAAATACAAATGCAGAAAAAAAAAACACTCCATATGTTTTTGCCAGAGCAAACTGGAAACTAATAATACAGCTAAATGATTACCTCTCAGCAATTGAGCGGGCTTTCTCAACATCAGCCAAAGAAAGCATAAATGCCATGTACTTTATCCAGACAAAGCTGCTATTTGGGGAAATTCTAACCACTTTCTCAAATTCATCAGCACTTCTTGGAATATCTTTCTCTAATAGCCTTTCTTCAGCAGCCCTAATTTCTCGTTCCCTGAGCAGAACAATTTCCATTCTTAACAGGAAAACTGAGACAGACAGCCTTTTATAAGAAAATCATGAAAATATGTGAATAAAAAAATTACCTCTCTTCATTGGCTTTCTTCTTTGCCTGGCTTTTATTCTTTTGATCTACAGCATCAGCATCAGCATCATCAACGTGCTCTATATTTTGACAAGCAGCATTAACCATGTCTGATTTCTCTATATCATCGAGAGGGACCTCAAGTGGAAGAATAGAAGCCCTCGCTTCCACTTCAGCAAGAAGAAGATGCTGCCCATTTTCACATTCAAAGTCCAAATTCTGCATCCCCAATGAGCCTCTATCTGGCAACATTGTTAACTGAGTACCCACCATGTGATCTTTTTCCTCAATGGCATCATCATACTTCTGCTTTGAAGGAGCTTGAATGTCAAAATTGCTCATAAAATATGAATTCTTCATCCCAAGAGAAACTCGTTGTCTATCCTCATCCACCTGATAATAGTTTGAAAAATAAAAGAAAATAAAAAATACAGCTTCTGTAGCCACAGAGAGTTACTCAAACTGCAGAAGTTCCATAGCAGCTGTTCCTATTTTAGATAATATTTAGAGAAATTATTCATTTGAATCAATATACATGTTCTCCAGAGTCTAGAAAGAGGTTACAATAATCACCATTCAGCAATCATAACACAACAACGATACTGCTTGCAAAGCTTGACATGCAATTGTTTACCTTCAAAACCTTTGATGTAACTCTCTCCCCTGCTCTGTATTTAGTTTCAATATTGTCAACATGATCATCAGAAAGCTCGGAAATATGGCATAATCCAACCTAGGCAGAAGAAGAATGCAATTATAAACCCAAACTAATATACAGTCCGCTGCCAGAGCAGAATACCATGTGTTACATAACCTAAAAAGAGTTGGGGCACACCTACCCATAAAACACATCCTATATTCAAAGTTTGGTAAAATCAAACAGATGTGATGATTGTACAAACTGGCTTATTATTATAGTGACAGAAGTTGATGGGCCAGACGTCACAATAAATAAACTGAGACCCAATTATTCTTGTTCAAAACTACAAATCTGGGTATCATAAGAACGAACTTGCAGAGAAATACCAAATTACTTACTGTGTTTGTATGATCAATTGTGATAAACAAACCGTATGATTCAATGCGCTTAATCTGGCCAGAAACAATATCTCCAACATGGAGACTATTTAAACCATTTCTGTCACTTTTTTGTGTTTTGCTTGCATTTGATGTCCTAAGGGTGACTTCAACTCGCTTAGACAAAGGCTCCACAGATGCCACCCTGCATGCAAAGTGTCTCAAAAGATTGCCTTAACAACTATCTATCAGAAAGTAGTACTACCAGAAATACTTACTTGCCAACAACAAGTTTCCCAATAGGGAATTCTTTTTCGAGATTTTCAACATAGCCATCGGACAAGTTTGAGAGAAGGATTTTCGCATCGAGCTTCCGAGAAAGCATAATGAAGCATCCCTTTGGTGTGATGTTCTTAACATAGCCCTATTTAACCCAAAAAAGAAAAATAAAAAACTAAGGTGCTAAGCATGAATATTTGATGACAAAAAAAGCAACAAATGTCAACAGACAACAAAACACACTGCTCAGCCTAAATTAATTGAACTGATGCAAAACAATATTCTACATATATGACAAAAAAAACATACTGATCATATTCTGTCCAAGCAACAAATCAATTAGAATGGATGATTACTGTACATTTGAAACTTAAATATCACATGGTCAGAACAAAAAGTAGATTCTGATGGAAGAAGAAACTGAGGATCAGTTCATTTATTTTGATAATCATGAATTAATCATACAGTCGAAAAAGATCTTGACGAAGTAAACATACTAATTTCCAATTCATACAACATTATCAGCAAAGTCAAAGTGTGGTCATTTGCCAGACAATGTAATGTAGGACAGCTTTTTGGATTTTCAGAACAGAGGCTATTTAACAGCTAAACAGTGTAATTTAGGTTTTAATGATTAAATTGGAAGCTAATAAGTAGGAGAAGAAATTAGCGTTGATTTGGGTTTGATTGTAAATGATTTTCAGGCTGAAAAGTGCACTTTTTGAGGGCTGTGAATAATATAACCAGAAAATAGTAACTTGGGTATGTACAAAAAGAAGAAGAAAAAGAAATAGAAGAAGAAATAGGTGCTTCACCCTCAAAAGGGTTACGCCAATCACACACAAACACAATCTTAAATTCTCATAATTTGAACTCTATTGAATCATTGAGAGTACACATATATTTATAGGCTAAAGACTCCCCTACTCCCTACTCAAACAAAGGATTAAGACTCAAATTTAGAAACTAAAACTACAAAAATTCTAGACGAACTATTACTATGACTTCTAATTCTACTCCAACTATGACATGAGTTCAAAATAGGAAACTTTGACCTTTTTTACCACTAAGACTATTCTACACATGACAAAACATATATATAATAGGGGTAGTTACAAGCCAGTCCTGTGGACTGGACTTATTTATCAAAAAGTACACTCCAACTTTCAGTGATAAATTTATCACTTAAAAAATGTTTTTTTTAAAATGCAATTCAACTATTTCCCACATCATATTTCAATACAAACTAACACAAATAAACTAAGAATAAAACAAAATTCACAAACAAAAGTCAAATTTGATAAATTTATCAATATCATTACTAGTCACAAATTATCATTCCACAAACACAAAACACATCTAAAAAGTTTGAAAATGTTCTCATTATCAAAACAAGAGGCAAATATGTTAAAAAAATAAATAAATAAATTCACTTGGGACTTGTGAGTAAATAAGTCTAGTCAATATGACCTGCTAATAATTATCCCCATATCATAATCCATTTAATAATTGGATCCAAAATACAAACCATGGACAACCCAAACAATATGAGCCTCTACTTACACAACAACTGTATCTCCTTGCACCTTTTTTCTATTTGCAGCCCATCAAAAATTAAAAAATATAACTCACATGCCTACCCTGTAACAGCTGTAACCACCATCTCTGACTGCCGTAGCTACCATCTCTAACCACAGCAACCACCAGCCCTCCCCAACCTCCTACACATAGCCCCCATCCCCCTCAGCCCTCCCAAGCTCGGGGACCACCACATTGCAACCATCCCCAACCCAACGACCCCACTATGCAACCTTCCCTATCCAAGTGGCCATCACTTCGTAGACTCCCCCCACCCTTCCCCAACCTCAAATCTAGGGTTTTCATAAAGGAAGGGAAGAGGATCTAGAGTTCTCAGAGAAGAAAAGAAGGAAGTCACTGTCATCAAGCTACTGAAGCTGAACAAATCGTCTCTTTGCAGCGTCATGGCGTCAGTTCAATGCTCAATGTTCGAATATAGATAACCAGAGACAAACGAATAGCATTTGTTCAATTTTTTGATGTTGAATGAATCATGTTTGTTTGGAGAGCAGCCATCGAACAGGATGGTATAGTTCACTGGGGAGTCATCGAACAAGTTCACTAGGGAAGAGGAAGGGGGAGGGGGTGCGCGCGGTAGGCCAATGGCTATGGGAAGGGGTTGCGGTGGTTTTGGAGAGAGATTGCAGTGGTTTGCTGGTGTAGAGGAGGGGTTGTCTTGGTTCATCGGGATGGAGAGGAGAGGTTGTATTGGTTCGCAGGGTTAGTAGAGAGGTTGTGGTGGTTATAGGAAGGAATGGTAGCAAGTTGGGAAGGTTGTGGCGTTGGTTGTCGGTGCAATTGCTAGTAGCAATGGCAGTTTGGGGGTGTTTGAAAAATTAGGATTTATAATTTGTAGGGGAGTTTTTTTTTTGGTAATTTTACATGAGGATAGAATTGTAATAAAAAAAATATATTTTTAAAAAAAAGGGATGTGAATTACACTGAACACCCTTGAGGTTTGGAGAAAATACAGTAATCTTGGCATAATTACAATGAGTTCCCTGAAGGTTTTAATTTATGTAACACTTAGTCCCTTTTTCATCAATCATCCCTTGGCCAAATGGATAGAAAAATGATGTTAACATATTTTTCCTTGTTCATCTATATGCCTTTACACAATCTACATTAGTTCTTGGTCCATTTAGCCTCACTAAAAGGGAGGTCAATGTTATTATGTCAAAATTGTTGAACATACTATATTTTCTCCAAAACTTTAGGAAGGTTAAGTGTAATTTACTCTAAAAAAATAAAATAAAATAAAATAAAATAAAATAAAATAAAACAAACAAACAAACAAAAGAATATAAGGAGTAAAATTTGTGGTGTAAATAGAAGCTCCCCCTACAACCCATCTCCAACAATTATTGAAATTACCATAATACCTTCAACTACTAAATACTATCATGCATGGACACTTTTCTTTAGACCAAAAAGCCTTCTTGACGATCATGGGACCCTTAGACTTTGTTTCGAACTTCCAAAGCCTATCGTACTTGTTTAACATGCAATAGATGTTACATCACAATGTCTAGTTGGACCTTCTCCATTCATCATTCACAATATAATTCCAAAACAAAAGTCTAGTTGTTGCCGGTAGTTGGAATCAGTTGCAAAATTCCTTAAGTGCCCTAATGATGTGATGTGATTTTTCAAATTGTAACAGTCACAATATCGTTAAGTGGTTCATTTACCCTTGTCATTTCCGATATCCACTGGGGCTACAAAATGAACCAAACCACTCACGCTCAACTCGTGTTCAGCTCGTTAAAAACTCGTTGAAATTGACTCATTATGACTCATTATGTAAACAAGCTAAGCCTAAACATGTTTTAAAGCTCGTTAAGTTTTCAAGCTAAACTTCAACAACCTATCACTTGGCTTGACTTAGTAGGTTTGCAGCCCTAGAATCCACTCTCTTCTACTAAAAATTTCAATGGCACGTTGAAACTCCATGAGCTCACCATAACTTAACAGATCACAAAATTAATAAAAACTAAAATTTAGTATCGACATATTCAACACAATGAAACTGAGACTCTCACCAAAATATGATACTAGCAAAATGGGAAGGGAAAAATACTGACAAACACTACAAGAATTTATGTTGTTTCTAAACTAATAAATCAATGTAAATTTGAGGTAATAGAACAATGCATCCTAATTGAATTCACACAAAAAATCATCAAAAAAGACAAATAGGTGGGGAGAGAGAATAAATGAAACCAAGGCCTAGGCTGATGGTAAGGGAAAGCCTTTCGCATGCATATGTCCTGGGTTTTGAGCTTCGATCCTGCCCCCCTTCCACACCAATATTGTAATTAGATTCTCGGTCCTATCTCAAAATAAATAAAAAATAATAATAATAATAATACTTTTGGGAGGAGATACACCATGGTGAACTGAAAGGCATCCATAAAAGCAAGAGTTAATACCATGATAGATTTCACCATGACAGAGGTTTTGAGAAGTCATAGGCTATAGAGTATAGACAACAAAATATAAATAATAATAATAATAATAATTTAGAGAGAGAGGAATTTATAGTATGTAATACCTGCACATTCATCTTAGGATGAAGATCCTCTATACTTTCTACACGGCTTGCAAAATATCTGTGAATCATTAAATGGCTCTCTTCAGAATAATATTTGACAAATGATGGCATTCAAAGCATAAAAATAAAAGCTGATATTCAGCCAAGAAAACAAACTACAAGTCCTATTAACCATACATCTTAAATAACTACATTGAAAAAAGACACGCGATTCAATAATAGAGAGCCGACTATTATATTTCATATGATTTTCCAGAAAAGGGGGCAGTTTTTCGGAAATCTAAATTGCCAGCTTTGTGTGGAGCAATTTTCAGTTCTATCGGATATTGAAGGTGCTGACTGGCCAATTGGGATCACCAGCCAGGTTTATTGGAGCGTAATGTTAAGCTCTGGGCCCCATTGGTATTCAGGTCCCTGGTGTGCTGTTTGACAGTTAATTTTTTTGGGTCAGTTCAACATTGTTTTGCAATTTTCTAATATGATTTGGTGATATCAGTTCCTATTTTTTGTTGGGTGTTTGCTGACTGCTTGCAGCACCCACTAAACAAGAGGGGAGGAGGGGGGTGGGCTGTTTGGTGGTCACTTGAAGGGTTAATAATAATGCAAAATGATAAGTGCAAAAGAATGAAATAGAATTTTAATTATATACTAACTTGGTGATGCAAGAAAGCACCAGTAATTCTAAATACTTACACAGTGTTGTTGAGTTCACTGTTGTTGACAGTAGTAGACTTCTGAGAATGAATGCCATCTGAAGTTGTGCGTAATGACAAATCAACCTGGAAAGTTCCCTTAACTGAATGGCTGATTTCTAGGACTTTGCATTTGACAAATTGTCCCTCATGATATCCAGACAATGGGTCAGAAACCCATAAGTTCGTCAATTCAGTAAAATGGACCTTTCCATAATGGTGTGGATCTATTTTGATGAGCATTCCACCCACACCAGGAAGAATTTTGGAAATCCTGCCGCCCACAACATCACCTTCGTGAATATGGTATGATACATTCCCATTCAAGTGATTGCTTGTGTCATCTATCTTAATAGTTTCACAACCAAGTGTTCTATCAGGAGCAGAATAAATTGGACGCAGCACGAAACGTAACAGCTTTTTCTCCTTATTAGCACTTAAAATATAACCAGATATTGCTTTCCCCACAGTATAGCGCTTCTGGAATTCCTGAAGTTCAGTAGGTTCATGTGAACTGTCAAGAATGTAGAGCTGAGCCTTCACATGTCGAGATATTGTTAACCAGATCCATTCACTATCCAATTTATAGACAAATCCAGTTACATGTTGCCCAATTGAGTAACTGAAATCTTCATTGCCAAGCTTGCCTCCCATTTCTGTAGAACCTGGATAAGCAATTGCATTTGGATCAACTTGAGTGATAAAACAGACCCTAGAACAAAGTTTGGGTCATGTGCAACTTAGACCAACTAATGCACCAGCAAGGGCTGATTTGATACATGTTGCAGTCTCAAACAGAACAAAGAGGAAAACTGAGGACATGGGTTAAGGGAGTGGCCTTGGATCTCACCGAGCATTGCTTTGAATAGACCCAACCAGAGAAAAAGGATAAAAACTACACCCAGTAGATAAAATTATATCTACTCTTTTAATATATTAGCCATAAGAAACATCCAACGGCAAGTAGTCAGCAGCATGCTCAGGGACCAAATTTTGGGAAAATGGAGTAGAAATGAGCGGTCATGGTAGTTAAGTACTGCTTTCTACAGCAACAAAAAGATACATATAAAATACGTCTTTGTGTTTGTGTTTAAAACAGTCGCTTAGGCACGAAAGAGATGCACATTAAATACAGGTGTGAATGCCTTTTCATCTGTGCTCATACACGGATGAGGATGAGCCCTAGAGCAATGCCCAACAACTATTAACAGACACATATAAGGTGTAAGCTTTTCTGTTTCTGAGTTAAACATATAACAAGATGTAAGCATTTCAACGAATTTATCTTCAAGTGGGATAACTACGAAGACAATTAATAGCATAAGGTGAGTCATGCTACAATAAAGGATACTGTCTTTTTTTCCACCAAGGATGAGAGCCAGATAGTTGATCTTTTTTTGGTTTTGAGAATTTTTGGGGTGGTCTCAGGGCTAATTTGGAAAAAAGTAGTGTGGTGGGCATCAATTTGCAACGTAATAAGCTTCAATGAATGGCTTCGCTTCTAAGATGTGGTATTGAGGTACTTCCGTTCAAGTACCTGGGACTTCCACTGAGGGATACTCCTAGGAGTGAATCTTTTTGGAATCCAGTTGTGGAAAAGATTGGCAAGAGGTTGAAAGGGTGAAGCAAGGCTTTACTCTCACGTGGGGGTAGATATACTCTAGTAAGACAGTTTTAAGAGGTATTTCCATTTTTCTTTTTTATCTTTGTTTAGGATTCCAATTAAGGTTGCAAGATCATTAGAAAAGTTGACAAGGTCCTCTGAGAAGGTAAGGATGAGGGTAAGAAGGATCATCTAGTGAACTAGGAAATAGTTTCCTTTCCAAAGGAGAAGGGGGATTTGGCCATTGGTAACATTGTGGCTAGAAACATGACTACTTGGCAAGTGGTTATAGAGATTTCCAAATGAATGTGACGCACTATGGCATTTTGTTATTAGAAGCAAGTACGGGATTCAGGGTAACGGTAGGGATTCACAGGTGGTCTTTAGGGGTAGTTGTCGTGCTCCTTGGAAATCAATTTCTCATCTCTATCCACTTTGGTCTCATTATCTTTCTATGATGGTGGATAATGGGAACTTGTTTGATTCTGGGAGGATGTTTAGGTGGGCTCTTCTTCCTTTGTTTCAAATTTTTCACATTTATATAGAGTGGCCCAGTCTCATAATAGTTCTATAGCTTCCATGGCTTGTTTCTTTTTGGCTCCAATTTCTTGAAATTTCAATTTTTTTAGGAATCTCAATGATAGGGAAGCTGAAGAGTTGATGTCTTTGTTGTCAAAAGTTAATCATATTTCTTTGACTCCTCTTTCGGAAGACAGAGGGTTTGGGCTCTTCATTCATCTGGTATTTTTTCTTGCAAGTCTTTTTTGGCAAAATCATTGATAATCCTCAAGTTCCTCAATAAAATAATTTGAAAGACTTGTGCTCCTCTTAAGGTAAAGGTGTTCATGTGGTCCTTGGTTCATGGATCATTTATTTTTGCACTGTCCAGTTGCTTTAAATTTATGGCATAGATTGTTTCTTTTGAAGAATGCTATGTGGGTGGCCCCAAAAGGCAGTGTGCATATGCTACTAATTGACTTTCGAGCTTTGGGTGCATCGAAGAAGGCCAACGTGCATTGTTATTGTGCCATCTTCGCAACTTTTTGGGTCATTTGGTTGGAAAGGAATGCACGGGTTTTCGAATATAAATTTCGGGATGTGGATTTTTTGTGGGATAAAATTTGTCATGTAACCTCCTTTTGGGCTTCAGTGAATGCTCTTTTTAGAGGGGTTCCACTTTTTAGAAATTGGTTGTCGATGTGTGACATGTAGAAGGATTTTGATGTAGTCTTGTTTGGGTTGTGTACTTTCTTTCTTTTTTATCCTCTTTGTAGAGGATGCCTTATCCTCGTTTCTTTTTGTTCATTAATAAATCTCTTTGTTGTTGATCAAAAAAATACTACAACAAAGGATACAAACTAGCATTACTGGGATGAACTATTTTGAGAAGGAAGAACACTATGATAAGTAGATATGATGGAACACAATTTGTGATGGAAAATAAAGTTTAACGGCTCTAGTGCTGGGGTTATAGTCCAAGTTCAAGACACTGCTTGCACAAAGGGGAGGAGTAGAAGTGTAGAAAATGATTCAAGGTTACAAGAAAAGAATGGTGTACCTAGATAAGAAAGAATGAAAAAAACAAGTTGTGTTGCCAATTCAACTACTTGGAACAAATGTCAGCCAACTTTGGGTGATATGTTAACATATTGAAAGGACAAGTATGCTGTTGAGGGAACCAAGTGAATAAGAGCTTCGATATAGACTATAAATAAAGAAACTTTAGACATTACGTACCTGTAACGAGTGAAGGTCTGATAGACAATTCCCACTGATAGTTTTTCCTATTATTTTCTGATTTATTGGTCTTTGAAACAATTACTGCGGTCAGTGTTTGTCCAATTCTGAAGTCTTTAAAGGGATTTTCGACAGCATTATCATCATTTGCCTGCCACGACACAAGTTTAACTAGTATATACAGCCAAGTAATTGGAAACCCATATAAATCCAGAAACAATGATCATAGATGACTGTACTGTACCATTGTGTCAAAAAAATAACAAATAATAATTGAAAAATATTCACCTCTGTGATATGTACCCTCCCATGGAAACCAGATCCAAATTTCAATTTCAGTTCCAAAGTCTTTATTTCAGTAATCTAGCAATAAAACATAATTGCATATAAATAATCTTAAAAAATAAAGAAACCATGATAACAGGTTTTTGTGGTCAAATGAAGCCTTTAAATATTAACACCAAGATGGAAATCCAACAAAAATAGATATTTCTACCTCTGCCTGAACAACAGCTCCCACATCATAGCCAGACTTCTTTTTTGCTCTTTTTGAACTAGAAGTCTCTGTAACCTCACTTACAGATTTAAGTAGCAACAGCAACCTCCCAGCTGTTGCAGGGCTTGGCAAAGCCATGATGGTGGCAATGACACTACATTACATAAACAATTTCAACTTGAGAATCCACAAAAAAGCATATAAAATTTTGAACCTATACAGTTTCAAAAATATTTGGAAAGAACCTCTCCCACAATTGGATTAGTAAAGTTGGTTTATTCTTTAAGTTTGATTACAGCTTCTTTTTACTTTTTAATTTGCATATTAGGGTATTTTGCTAATTTTACTTTTCAGTTATATTCTGGTTGTCTTTTGTTCTTTATTACTCAGGTAAGCTTTCAAGATCATGAGTATGATTCTGTATAGGTCCAACCCTTAGCTTTACTTAATTTTCAAGACTACTTGGCTTCAAATTTTCAAGATTGAATCCTCCATAAAAATGATGCAGTGGAATTACTTTGAAGCCCTGAATGAGGAATTTGTTGGAAGACAGTTACTAGTGGTATGTGATGCAACCTCTTGCAGATGTGATGCCAAAAGAGTCTAGGGGGGATTGCTTCAGGATTTCCTCACTGTTTCTACTGTCTCTTCCCATGTAGTCCTTGTTCACTGAACCCACACATTCTATCAACCACCAACTGCTGTTGTAACACCCTAGGTATTTCTATTAACTGACACGTACATATTTCTCATTTCAATGATTGAGATGCCTGGAATTAAATTTCCTTCTTCAGTGTATGATACACTTAAAAGACATACTTTGATGGTCCTTTGGCATGGCTAGAAAGATTTGTTCTTTGAATAAAATACACATGTTTTGCTATCCAATGTTTATAGCCTTGAAGTTCTGTCATTTGATATGAAATGAAAGAAAACATAGAGACAAGAAAGGAAGAATTATATTTGCATACGGTAAGCTATATATAATTATATTTCCCTCATCAAGATGATTAAGTGGCATGGTCTAATGTTCTTAACATTTATATGCAATGTGTGGAAAACATAATCAGGATTAGTGGTAATTAAAGTGTGATTAGTGAATTTAATCAAGATTAATTAAGCTTAAACAGGAATAATTAAGTCAAGTGTGATTAGTTGCCTGAACTTGATTAATCAGTACTAACCTAGCTTAATTAGTGTAAACTTGATTAATTAATATTAATCATGTATTGGTAGAGACATCCAAGCACACACCTCACATAGGAGTGTGAAACCTCATACTCTATGAAGCACGGATACGGGTACGAGTACTGGTACTGGTACAATACGGGTACGTCGATACGGTAAAATTCAAAAAAGTAGGGTACGGGTACGGCTTGATACGCTTGTAAAAAAATATTTATTTTTAATTTAGAGTAATGCAAAAATTAATTAAATGGTTTAATTTGTTAAGATTCAACCTACAATTAACATTTAATGCCAAAAGTAAAGATATAAATCAAAATAAAATTTCAATATATTAAAATAACTTACAAACCACAGTTTAATTTTAAAAATATGCTAAGTATAAAACTAAAAATAAAAAAAAAAAGTTTAGTGAAATGAGTTTTATTTCTGTAGTAGAAGATAATATTGTTTCAACTGAGATACGGTACAGCTTGGGTAGTAGATACATCCGGGTATGCCAAAAATTAAAAAGAAAAAAAATTAGATACGTGTTTCGTGTACCCGGTACGTATGCAGAAGTACCATACGAGGTATCATACGCCGGTAAGTACCCGGTACGGGTACGGCATGTTTTTCGAAGGACTCATGCTTCATAGCTCATACTTGAATAGATAGATACATATATAGGAGAGACAAGTGTCTCTCCAGTAATAAAAAACAACGGAAAATAGAGAGAGAGAGAGAAAAGAAGAACCTAGACTTGCCCCTAGTTTGAATTGAGGTAAAAAAAAAAATTATTATTATTATTATTATTATTATTTGATAGGTAAAATTCATATTCACCTTATTGTTACCTTTAATTGGTTGACTTTATGCTTCGACACTTACTCTAATTGAATTTAAGCTTTTGAGTAGGAAAATAACTGAGTTCTTGACAGGTAGAATCTGAACAGGTTGCACTCTTTTGACTATATCTCCTAAAATATGTGAAATTTTGATGTGAAATTACTACTATTAGAAACCAGACTTATGGGAGTTCAATGTAGAGTCAATTTTGCCCAAACCCAAGTTTGTGTGAAGGAGTTATGCTCATTTGAAAGTAACTTACGTGTGCTGAAAATCAGTGCACAGGCAGCAAAAGTTTTGGGTCAATTTTGATTGCAAATCTGTATTAATTGGGAAAGAAATAAATGGTATGGCCTATACCATTGGAAACATATAGGAGTCTAGTTTCTAACACATCAAACGGAGCTCGATTTCAAGTTTTGTAGTGAGAGATATGATTGTTTTACTAAAAGGTGTCGGTGCTGCCTAGGGGTGAAGGAAAAACTGCCTACACTGAACAGGTCCCGGTTTTTGGTCTGTTTTCTGCACCGTTGGACTGTGTTGGGATTTTTTTTTTTTTCCTGGAAATCGGTTCAGCGTTCGGTTTTGGAGATTTCACCCGGATAGAACCGAACTTAAAGGATTATGCCAAATTTACCGAACATTCAAATAATATACAAGCATTACCTCTTACTGTTGTTGAATTTGATATTTGATGAATTAGTCTTGGTGCAATTATGTTGTTGTTTGTTGGGTAAAAACAAGCCTTATATTTTAATTAGATTGATCTATAAAATATATATATACATAAAGGCAATTATTATTTTTTTTCAAACAAATGCACAAACCGGTAAACTGCACCGAATCAAACGAAACCGAATTTACCAGTCCGGTCCGGTTTACCTGTTCTAGTCAGTCTGTTTGGTGCCATAGTTGTAAAAAACTGATTTTAACAATTCTGTCAAAAAAACATGCAAAACCAGACTGAACCAGATTGATTTCACCTACTGCACAATTCAAATCGCATTAAAATGGTTTCAAACTTATTTTCTTCATCTAATTCAGCCCCAAATCACACAGAATTTAACTCTAACATGTTTTGAGATATTAGCAAGGGCCTAAGCAACATGGTCGAACCTTCGATATACCTTAAACAAGTTAATTTTAAAAAAATGAATTTCAAACCGAATTAAAATTGCTCTAATTTTGCTGAAATGGATTGTGTACACCAACATGCATTGTTTTATATGATGCAGGTTGAATTATCTTTGGACTAACCTACATTTTAAGGGGGAAAAGAGGTGAGTGGCGATAAATCACAATTTATTTTGCAGTACAACTTCTTTGAAAATTAAATCTACCCTGTATTCTTCGAATATAAAATGTTTAATCAAGGATATCATATGTTTATTATATTTAATGTATAAAGATGTTATCTATGGTTTTGGTTATGGTTTTAACTGTTTTGGGAGCAAAGTACTACATGAAACTAAGTGCTACATTGTATTGTGAAAATACAATGGAAGCCACCGCTAGAATTTTTACGAGTCACCTCTTGGATCCTACATATCAGCTTTTGTCCTGGGCTGATATTGGGGAACATTAATCGACTAATAATATTCGTCCCGGAAGCTATTTGGATACATTAATCTACTAATCATATTGGTATTGTGAAAGTTATCTTAGAATGCGGTCTTGACATCATCAAAGTCAACCTAGTTATGTTTTGTTTTGTATTTTCTGGATGGGCATTATCACCATCGAAATGCATAAGATATGTTAAATTTCAAATGCAAATTTAGCTTTTAAGTTTTGAACAACTTATAATTATTGGAAATGAAGATATCCTTGTCTCTAAATAGCTTTGATACATCACAATTCATTGGGCTTTAGTTCACCGAGCTTCCCTATATATGAAGGAGATGATGATAGAGCATGAAGATTTCATGTTTGAAGCTAAGTGTTTATGTGAATAGACAAGAAAGTTTGTATGCATAGTTGTTGGATAAAAGACAAGCCCTGAAGTTTGAAAGCTTTGTACACGTTTATCTTTGGAAAGAACATGACGTTCTCTTGTAAAATTATGTACTCCTTGTGACTGAGTCTGTAAAAGGCATAAAAAATAATAATGTATGTTTCATTTCATTTACTTATGCACTTCCTCTGGATGGATGTCGTGGAATAAACAGGTATTCCAATTTAGTGGCTTCCGCTATTCAAAGCAGTTTTTCCCCAAATTTTCCGTAAGCACAATGCTTTTGTTTAGTTAGGCCGTTGACTATTGGCTGGTCACTACTCTATCTCAGTTTCGGGTGGAATGCAGTCGTGACGACTGTGGACTTCTTAAGCCACATCATACTACTACAGAACTTTCATGCCAAAATAAAGCAATCATACTGCAATAATAGTAGAGGGCGAGCACATGAATGCAGGCTACAGCTATTGTCAGACTCTGTCAGATACTTACTTCAGTATAGAGGATCACATAATCCATATCATACTTAAGAAAATATAAATTTAAAAAATCATAAACTATGAAACCATGGTTCCATTTCAAGGCAGGATCCACTTTAAGCTTTTCATAATTAAGTTCTAAATAACGTCGAGTTTTGTTTTATATTTCCTTCAAGCACTACTGCTTCAGTTTTGCGTATCTTAAGTTATGTTATGTTTTAGGAGTAAAAAATTATTCAGCATATCCACATTTTCCAGAAATGGGCTGTAGTGCTAAAATGTGGTTTACATTTTGTTAATAGATGTGTTATTGGGTCCCTTGTTTTGGCCTTACGTGTGTTAAGATAAGTTTCACTAGTCATAATTTAAGCAGCTACTTTGCCTTATTCCTACCCCACAAGCCTCTTTCATACATTGACGAAACCAAACCAGTCTAAGTCTTCCCCTCCCCCTAAGTTATTCATTTGTGGTGATCATATAATTTTTTTCTTTTATCATTATCTTTGTTGTATATGATCAAACCATCTTAACATGTTCTCCCACAAAACCCTAAAAAGGTTGCCATACAAAAATTTCAGCAAGCCATCCTTCGAAAATTCAAAAAATCCAATCCATTTTTATCCATAAAACCTACCTTTTCGAAAATCCTCAAAACACAAGTTTACCAAAACCTAATCTCGCCAAATATTCAACTATAGGCCGCAGTATTCTAATTTTCAAGTGCTGTCAAAGAATATTTGATTTGAATTTTAAAATAAAATTAAAAAAGAAAGAAACAAAGAAACGGCATGCACAAAGTATTGATTAAATTACACCAGAAATCATGTTTCACCTTTGACCATTAACATATTGTCTGGGAGGGAACTTTTGTGTGTTGTAGTCGGTCAGTGAGGCATATCCAACAGCAAAGTTATATTGTGGTATTGACAGAACCTGCTCCACAAGTAACACAATAGGAAGAGAGAGATCAAAATAAGTATAGATCACTAACAGTGAATTCTTGTCAGACTAAACAAAAACATCAAACACTTGCCAAGTAAGTATCTTTCACAATCTCCACCATGGCATCAACAGTTTGATGTACCTCCAGTTCTTTGTGTGATTCCTTTTTGCGTTTCTGGAATAAACAATTGCATAATTCATGTTTAAAAAGTCAAGGAGGAGAAAGAGAAGGGAACTACAGATGATCTTCATTAGTGAACCATGAGAAGTGAAATCTCTAAGACAGTAGCTAAATTTAAAATATAACATCACACCTCATCCTATAAACTTTAACAAATGAAATATAGGTGTATGGAGATTCCCTAAGACGTGAAAGCGCAACAATATAATTGCACTCAATGTGCAGCAAAACGTATTCACCAGAGACCAAAAGCATTAACAGAGCTGGAAGAAGAAGAATATCAGAACTGAGAAAGATCATCCCAAATCACAATGTGGGTGTTTGGGAAGTGGCTATTTTAGAGGTTTTTTGGCTTTTTGGCTATTTTAGTAGGCTATTTTAGTTTTTGAGTTTGGAAAGATGGGATGGATTTTTATTTGAGTTGTTATATTGAAAAATGTGTTGAAATGATGTTTAAAGTTAAAATGACAAATTTACCCCTAACATCACGTTTTTCAAAATTAATGTGAAGGGGCAAAATCGTCATTTACCAAGGGATGGGACAACTTGTCAATTTGACAGTGTAGGCTGTGCCTACATTGTCCACGGTTGCAGCTATTTTTTTTATAAAGTGTTAATTTAGGAGCTTTTTGGCTTTTTTTTAGTTTGAGGCTATTTTAGCCTCAAACTCATCTTCCCAAACACCCCCAATGATAATATGTGACTGAGGAAGAGATGGAAGAAGCTAGGGAACAGACAACATTTGGTACATCAACAGTACATCAACATTTAGACACCAAACTTGAGGCAAACCTTCTTGTTAATATCAACTTTAGAAGTTTCTTCTCTCAATATATCAACAAATGCTGCCCTTAAAGACAAATCCACAAGGTGTTCAATCTTGGCAACATCAAGAACCACAGCTCGAACGATGGACCCAGTTTCCACAGTAATTCCACCTACTGCAAAAGATTTGTTGCACCAAACAGATGTATTACATCTTGAGAGATAATAAATAACTGATTCGTGAAATTTTCAAATAAAGGACTTACACTGATAGTGCGTAACAAAACCAAAAACATCATCATACTTTTCAAAGCTGACGACAACTCCAAAATCTTTCACATCACTAACTTTTCCTTCAACAACACTGCCAATGCTAAAATCTTCAACCCAATTTAACCCAAGACTTTTTGAGTCAGATAACTGCAGCTTAGCAATCTGGATCATAAAGTAAGATCAGTTCAAAGATGAAAATATTACATATCCAGAACATGGTCAAGAGAGTCAACAGTAGCATCGAAACAAATATGCATGATAGTTACAGAGCAGAAGTAACATCTTACATAGGAACCTCAAATGCTAAATGAATAAATTCAATTTACAACACACTGTACAGTTTCAAGCAAAAAAGGTAAAAGATACAGAAAACAGTAATGTGTTTTTTTTTTTTTGGCTCATATATCATATAAGCGTTCTGAAGAATAAGGAACATAAAAGGAGAAAAAAAAATTAATTTTTTTTTTTTTTTTTTTTTTGGGCTCATATATCATATAAGCGTTCTGAAGAATAAGGAACATAAAAGGAGGAATGTAGAAGGTACTTTAAAATTTTTAGGAAGAATATAAAGAATTTCCACCAAAATGCTTGAACAACTAAACCAACCAGTGAAAGGTTCCAAAGACATCATTCTTTGAAGTAAGTTCCACAAAGCTGTTCTACATTTTCCACAGGGGCTTCTTTTCTTTTCCAAGGGATGGCATTTTTCCCTTAGCTTATTCACTAAGCTATCCTCACCAAGCAAGACAAGTGAGTTATCCCACAATTAAGATCCCACCCTACCCAATGCCCATATGGTTTCAGCTGGAAAATTAAGGCTGTGTTTGGAACGATTTCCAAACGTTGATTCTACCCCCACGTTCCAATATGATATTTGGATAGGTATTTGGAACTAATTTTCCACAACTCTACAGAAAACTGTGTGAGGCGCGATTTTCATTTTTTTTTTTTTTGAATTTGGCCTAACCGGTCGTCCCACTGGTCGTCCGGCCGGTTGACCGGAACAGTACAATTTTTTATTTTTATTTTTTTTGTAATTGACATATTTTAATTTTTATATATTCGAAAAAAATACTTTCCGAATTTTTTAAAAAAAAATTTATGTGTTTTAATAGAATTTTGAGTTGTATGTTTGGTTATGAGTTGTAAGTTTTTGTATCAAATATCAAATGACACATCAAAAATTCCCCACTCAATTCAAATCTCTTTCACCAAACAAATTTTCTACACTCAAATCATAATTCCAAAACTCACAAACTCAAAATACAACTCCTACTCTCAAATCATAGTTAGAAAGCTCTACCAAACGCAACCTAAGATTTCAAAGGAAAATTCATTCGCAAATGGCATCAGATCAGATCAAACATAACAAAAAGAAATGCCATCCTTTCCTTGTCCACCTTGAACCACTGTCCAACTCTAAAACTTTGATGGCAACTTTAATAATAATAAAAATAAATAAATAAATAAAAAGAAGTATAGTTAAGACAATTCTGCATGTGCAATTAGGAATAGTTTAGACAATTTTCCTATAGTGTACATTGATACATTTCCTGTGCTAACTCATGAGCAATACTACAAGAAAATGACATAGTTAGCCTTACAGCATGACAATCGTTTTTGGTGTCCTTCAATTTCTATCACATTCACAATTCTTCCTGTTTTTGTAGAGCGCTAGATAACTGAGGAGTGATAATAGGCATTTTGGCTTTTGTGACAAGTCTGACTGTTGACATTGGTCAGTACCCCTTTAATGCTTTCTCTAATAAATCTTTTACTCACAAAAAATATAGATAATAAATAAAACTGCTTTTGCTGGCCATTGTAAGCCCTCAAACTTGTAGTTGAAGCGCAACTTTTTCCCATCATAGAGCAATTCAGAAGCTGATATAAGTTAGTCCACTAGTAAACCTTTCGTCAGCTGTTTCAAGAACCTTGTGCATACAGTGAACATCATCAGCTATTTCAAGAAATCATTACCTCCTGTTTTTATCAGTTCAGCGAACTAGAAACCATCAGCTATTTCAAGAATCTTATCCAGGCTACAGTAAATGAGTATACCAAACCAATGGACAAAAGCATCCTCAACAAGACAGGAAAATCAATTTTGTTTGAAACCTATCAAATAAGAATTGCATTTTGTACATCAATTAGAAACATGTCCATGATTTCCTAAACAGTTGAGCCAGATATGGAATTAGCACATATGATAAGTGCATTTCTAATGATTTGGAAGTCCTTGACAAAAAGAGTTGAATAACCCTTTCTTCCATGGGAAACTTTCGAGTTGTTCTGTAATTAGAATAACGACACAAAAAACAGAAATAAAAAATTTCACACTCACGAATCCAATGTTGTTGCATTTCTATTTTGTTTCCTTCTTAGTACATAGAATTTAAAGAAGAATTATCTTTTCTCTAAGTTTGGATTATTTAACTAAAGAGTTAAATTTGTAAACAAAATCATTTTTGATATGTTAAAAATATGGTGACTTCAGTGTTTACCTTTTCTTCCAAGAGAAAGTATTCTTGGATAAAGGATGCATCCGTCGAAGAGCATAATGATTGCTTCAAAGATAATGTTACTCTGCCAGTCTCGCTACTAACCTGGAAAGAAAACAAACAGAAGCTTGTAACTGAGATTCTTCAATAGCATAAGAGATTCCATTCTCAAATTGTCAACCTACATCAAGTATGTAACTGCGAACAGATTGCCCAATGTAGAAGGCTTCAGAAAGATTAGTTCTTCGGTCATCCGTTGCCTTCAAAAAACAAAAAACAAAAGAAAACCCAAAATGAGGGAGAATATTACTAAATTAAACAGGACACTTGGGCCTTGTTTGGTTCAGGCCATTTTAGCCTAAGAAACATTTCATCGAATTTTTTTGATTTTAGGTTCCTCAAGAGTAGAGGGAACCTAAAAACAAATTTTAAAAAATGATCCAATTCGAAAAAATTCATATGAGCAAAAATTAAGCCAATTTTTTGGGTAAAAGATAGCTTATTTTCGTCTTATTAACATTCTTTAAAAATTTGATCATATTTATTATTTTTTGGAACCTAAAAAATTTAAATAAAAAATGATCAAATTTGAAAGAAAAAAAATTCAATTAAGGTAAAATAAAGCCAATTTTTGGGCAAATGATGCCTAATTTTTGTCTTAAAAGGACATTTTAAAATTCAATCGAAATGTTTTTTGATTTTTAGCTTTTAAAAAAAATAATAATAAAATAAAATAACTAGGAAAACAATTGATCAAATATGAAAAATGTCCTAATAAGACAAAAATAAGCTGATTTTTCTTACTTAGGTTAAAATAGTCTCAACCAAACCTGTCCAGAGAAAGTAATAGCTGGAAGAAAAAAAGAAATGACAGAAATAAAGAAGGTTACTACCTTGCTTCTAGGAGCAAAACCAGTTAAACGCTCAATATATCGAACAAAACAACCAGATTCAATCAAGTTACACACATACCCCTGGTTCAAACATCCAAAGTAGTATTAGTCAATAAAATTCAACTGCAAAATATCCGCAATTGATCTTTTAAAGCTATGGGACACTTTGATAATATTTCGTATACTTTTAAGTTCCAACTTTCCATGGGCTTCATCTGTAGGTAATCTAAGTTTTTGGAGATGATGATCCAGTTGTTTGGCAAGGGAAGTGGGTTAATCAAAGGGAACATAGTGAGTGCGAACTGTATGGAGGAGTTAAGTGGCTGAATAGTCTAGTGGCAAGCTGGAGTTTAATTTTTTCTCTTGTTGGAGAGTGCAGGTGTGAGTATAATATTTTATAAATGAAGATTGGGCAAGGTCGGCAATGGTTTAAGATTGGAAGAGAATGAAGACAAGGGGTGGGCTTAGGCAAACACAAACAAAGAAAATGTGAAAAGGGGTTGACAAGATTTACTTTTCATACTTTTTCATCCTATCATCTTATAATTTCATTCTTTTTTTGGCCATTTTCAGTTCTGTTTTGAAAACCAATGACACCAACAATGCATATTCTCTGGCTTCTCCCTCAATATATATATTTTTTAAGATATTACTTTTAAAAATGCAGCAGAATAGGGGCTGCATTAATATGTGATGAGTTTTCCTACAAAAATATATATATATATATATATAATAGAAAAAAACAGGGCTCAGAAATAAACTAGTAAATAAATTCTTACATGGATTACTGAGTGAGGACAAATTTGAGAAACTTCTGCAGGAAGCTGTTTAGCAGATTTAATAAGTGAATACTTTGCAGTGAGAATTAAATTGTTGCTCTCAGCGTCTACAACATTCAAGAGGAAATTTTAAAATTTGGATCAGCAATTCATAATTGTCATAAAGACTTTTTGGCAATGAAAATTTAATAGCATCTAAGCAGGAAACAAGCATACATACAAGAAATATCCTTTCAAGAAGAAGAAAATGACTAAGAAATAAAAATGATGACTGCCAAAAACTCGCTCTCTCCCCCTCTCCAGTTATTCACCCACAAGCAGCAAGGGTGCAACTCCAAAACATCTGCTCCATGAATGTATACACCCCTTGACAACCTCCCAACACCTAATACTAGTCTCCGATAATTCAATGAACCCATTCCCTTCCCCAAATGCTGCTCCCAATTCATCATGGTTTCTTGGAGGGGAGTGTAAAGAGGGGAAAAAAATAAAGGGACCATAGCTCACTAAATCAAGCAGTAAAGAGATGATCAACTGTCTTCCCTCTGTTCTTACATACAAAAACAAATGGGCAAAATAAATCTTGAATGTATTTCTGAAGGCCAATGAACTATCCATGTTAAAACTAATAAATCTTTAATGTTCAAACTAATAGCAACTGACTTGGGGACACAACCTCAATGAAGCATAAAATAATAAAAGAGGTAAAAAGCAAAAGAAAAACATTTTGTTTGGGTGCCTTTAATCAGGAAAGAGATACAAAACTTTGAGGATGTGAACAGTGCCAGACAATTACAGTTGGTGTCATTGCTATGGCTAATTATTTCAAAAGGAAAGCAAATAAGCTCAACAGAGAAGATTTTACAAGGGTTAAAAGTAGTTACGGGTCATAAACTAAGACCAAAAAAACAATATCAGTAGAAGTAGATGATAGGAGGCAATTCTAAAAATCCTTAAAGGTCAGACCTAGGCTTGGAATTGCACCACACATTCCCTAATAAATTGCTAGAAAATTCCTCGAGAACTTCTCTCTATTGAACTGAATGCATCTATTAGGTATTATATGTAGACTAGTAGATAATCCTAACCTATGTTACGCGGACTCAGGTACAGGTATCGGGTGCGGGAGGGTATCTAGAGGTCAGACCCAGCAAACCTCAAATTTAAGAGTACACTAATTCGGTATAAAAGGTCAAATTTTATATTTTTAATCTATTATATGAAATAAAACAATGTTATCTTATATGTAACATACAATGTCAAAAAAGCATTTTATTTATTTTATAGCAATAATACAACAATATATACATATAATAACAGTGTGAAATAAAAATATGTATGGAGTGTCCGACGAGAAGTATCGGACATATATCCCACACCATTGCCCAAGTGTCGGGTGTCCAACATAAGTATTTGGTTTCTTTTTAGTCAATGTAACATAGAATCCTAACTTCAGTAGGATTTAGAATCCAAATTTAAAATTTTATATGCTTGCTAGTGCAATCCATATAACCAATATAAAGTCATCAACTAAAGATCCAATACATCACATGGACCAATAAAAAAAAGCCGATGTCAGGCAAACTAAGAAATATGAAAATATTTTGATTCGAAAAAACAAACAAAAGATGTAGAAACTGATCCAAACATACCAACCTGATAACAACAAAACAAGATGTCAGTAAGACTAAAAATGTGACTATTGCAATGTCTCAAATAGGCCCTACCCTAAAATCAAGTCAATTTCAACAAGTTTTTTCTAATTTTCTTATTTTACTCTTTCTAGTCCCTCATATGGATTACATCGGAACTATTAGACAATGGGCAAATAAGAAAAAAGCATAGCATCCCAGACCTTCGTCAAGGAAAACTCTGTGTGTGTGTGTGTGTGTGTGTGTGTGTGTGTGTGTGTGTGAGAGAGAGAGAGAGAGAGTCAAAAACCATAATAGCATTAATTTATTAAGTTCAACTCTCTCCCAGCAATGTTGGACTGTTGGGACATGGGGAAGTGGGCATAAATACAAATACTTACAAAAGAAAGCAACTCCAAATCATTATTTGTGCAGGTCTTTTTTCATTTTAAGTTGAGTGTTGATTTCCATTAAAACCTGTTGAAACCAACACCTATTCCACAATCAACAAAGAACTCAACCATTGTTGCTGCCTCATCAGTTTTCCTTTTTTATTTATTTCCCCTGTATGGTGTGTTTATCATATCTCAAAATCTTTAAAACTCATTTACAAATAGATATATATATATATATAATTATACAAATATCAATCCTGTGGCCTACCAGGCTACAATGTACAGCATTCATTGAACTCAGGGTTGGTTTGGGAAGTGGGTTGGCTTTTTGGCTTCTTTGGCTATTTTAGTCTGGGCTAAAAAGCTTGGTTTGGGAAGGACTTTTTGACTTTTTGGCTTTTTTGACTTTTTTTGTGAGAGAAGAGTGTAATGATTATAGGTTGGATGTGATGTTTTGTTTGTTGTGGCTAAAATAGCCTATTTTGTCTTTTGTGGCTATTTTAGCCACAAACCATCTTGCCAAACGAACCCTCAGATCTAAAAACCAAATTGATAAATATGTTTCCAGAGGACATACTGGCCACTAAATTGTTCGTCCAAATTTAACTGTCATGTTTAAGAAATAATAATAATCATAAAAATAACACGAAATTGATCCTAAGCACAAAAATTGGCTTTCATAATCCTGCAGGCCTATTGGATATAGACATTCACTGAAATTCATATAAACATAAACAAAAATTTTCCAGTTGTTTAGACCAGCCAGTATCATTATTATGTCATAATAAAAAGGCTTATTTGAACAAGCATAAAACAAACTGAAAATATAAGAAACAGTGTACATATTGAAACATAAAACATAAATAATAATAATAATAATAATAATAACAATAATAATAATAATAATAATAATAATAAAAGCAAAAGCAAAAGAAAAATTAAAACTAAGGAAAACAATTTAACGAGAAAACAAGATGTGTCCTTGATACAAGTATTGAAAAGAAAGAAACTGAGTACCAAGAACCAATAGTTGATCAAACTCATATCCTGGCTTCAAGACAGATTTCATCAAACCCACAAGCCCTGTGCAGCAGTGCCTTGAAAGTCAGTAAACAATGAAAGAAGGCAGCCTTGAACAACCCTTTCTTCTTGAAGACAGAAAATATACCTTGGTGATCTGACAAATGTTCTGCAGAAATTGTACCCTTGGTGTAACCTTTTGCATTGACACGTACTATTGCTGCATGAGGGGTTACTCGCTCAACCACTCCAGAAACAATAGTGCCCAACTTGGCCACATCATCATCAGTAACCCTGCCAGTAGAAAATCTCAGTTGAGATTAGTACACTGTTCAATGTAAAAATGCAATTCAGGAATTGACATATATTTCCATTACCATACATGACTGTAGATTACGAGTATCAACATTTTATGTAACAGACAAGGAACAAGATTTCATTTTTTTTCAATGAAAATGACTGAAACATTTCAGTTTTCCAAGAAACCAACACAACACTGGTTGAAAACCAAAATTCTAGTGTTTCCACCAAAACACATTGAAACTCACCAAAACACTACGAAATACACAGGAACAATTTGTTAGAGCCCATTAGGAGTCCCTAGCCAAAATTGTTTGTGTTTTTCCATTTTGTAAAGAAAAAGAAACAAGAAGTTTAGAAACAAATAAAACATGTCAAATGTGATAAAAGAAATATGACAAAGTAGAATAGAGAAATAGAGAGATAAAGAGAATAGAAACAGGACATGATTGAGCTATTTATTCTCTTCTACTGTATTCACAGATATCTTCTTCTCCCCCTCTTCCCTAGTACTTTTAGTTTTTCTCTGAACAAAGACAATCCCCACTCCCCAACCCAACCATTTCATTTATCATTTGCAAAGAATCATAGACACAGATAAGGATGCGGACACAAGACATGCTCATTTTAAAAAAAATGGGGACACGGATACTGCGGAGACAAGGCAATAAAATATTTTTCATATATTTTAATTTTCTATGTAGATTAATATTACATCCGGAAACAATCAAAATTAACAAAAGCTAATACTAATTCAATATTAAAATAAATAAATAAATCACCTTTAAATTAACACTTATCGTTTGTATCTTTTTTTATGGATGATATATGAAGTATTTAAATCTAAGCAAAAAGAAATAAACATTCAACATCCAACATACATCAAAAGCACTAAAGCAAGGGAGAAAAAAAACTACTTCGCATGTCCCCGGCATGTCCCCATAGCAGTGTTTTAAAAAGCTCTAGGCGTGAGGTGCAAGGCAAGGCACGTGCCTCATCAAAGTGAGGCACAAGTCGTAGACTATAAGTAAAATTTTAATATAGGCAAAGTTTTCAACATAAGCAACAATTTCTAAAATTTCAAAAAACATAGAACTTTCAATATTCTAAAAATCATAAAAATAACATTCAACATTCCGAAAATTTCTCAAAAATAACATTCAACCTTACTTTATCCAATACTACCTATCTTCCTTCATTAATTTATTAACGTGATTCACTTCTTTTTTAGATAAGAAACTAGCAACATATAACACCTTAGTGGTTTTGATTTTAAACCGGGCCCAAATTGCTTGATAGCTTCAATCATTGGCCCAAAGTTGTCCTAATTCACTACATTGAAAGGAATGCCAAAGTCATATATCCATATTGCAATCCAAGAGCTTTTTCTCAATCCCTAAGGGTTTTTTAATATAAAAATTGGGGCTCAAAGCACATGTTTATGTTTGTCGTCAACGGTGGCGGGTTTGGCTGTTGGTGCCGCTAAGTTTGATGTGGTTGGTTTGGTTGGAACGGAATCGACGAACGTTTCAAGAGGTTCATTATTGTGTGTCCTGGCTAGATTCGTTTATTATTTGTTGGTTGGAAAGGAGGACAGGTTCGGATTTGTTTGTTCTTTTTTGATTTTTTGGATGATGTTATTGCTTAGGTGTTGTTAGTTTTTCACCCCATGCCAAGGCTCTTTTTGTATTCTTTTGCATCATCTTGATGCTCGCTCGATAAATTTAGTTTATTTATCATAAATAAAATAAAATAAAATAAATTAAAGGGGTTATGATTCCCTATGGCGCACACACAGAATAAGGATGGAGCAAAAAAACGAATGAGGCAAGCACCTCACGCCAAATCCTAAGTCACGGACCTCAAATCCGCCATTCCTATAGCACCTCGTCTCAAGTTGTCTAAGGCACCTCAAGTGCATTTCAATGCACTTTGCACCTAAGTGCGCGCTTAGGCATGTATTTTAAAACACTACCCCAGTGTGTCCATGTTGTGTCCCCAGTGTGTCCCCTAAAAGCAAATCAATTAAAAAAAGGGGCACACCACGTAACGTGTCCAATGCGTGTCCCCGCCATGTCCCCGTGTCTAAGACGGCTACAACACTTATTTTCAATTGTCGATGCTTCATAGATCATCTATCAATATTTATTGATCATTGTTGAAACGTTTTTTAACTTGTTAGAAAGAAACTTCTAATCTTATCGCTAAAGGCCTCCTTACACCTTAGAACCCCTTTGGCATTCATTTATTGCTCCCTCCATCCCACATTGTTCATCCTTATTTCCCATTTGGAATGTCCCACAATGTCTCCTCTTCGAAAACTCAAAGCATAAGATTTTACAATTTTCCAAAATTATCTCTTATAAGTGACTAGGAATAGATTTAAGAGTGGGAATATAATGGCTATTTGGGAAACCATGTTGTTTGATTTTAAATTGAATGCATTAATGACATGCCTCCTTAAAATGCTGGAACTCCCAAATCAGACTAACATGTAAACCTTGTTTGGAAGGGATTTAATGTACATTTAGAATTATGAATGCTAACGTTAAAGACTTGTGGATTTATTTGACTTTAATTGAATTTTTTTTGTTTATATTAACATTTACTACCAAGTTTTAATAAGAATGGATGAGTAGACCTCAACTACTTTTTAATCATTAGGCCACATATGCATTTGGATAGCTTTTAGTTTTTCCATCAAACATTATTGTGCTTTTCCAAAGATGTTTATGATTTCCCTCAAATTTCCCAAACATTTCCATTTCCAAAGAGACCCGTTGAAACAAATTTGACCCATGGTTACAAAGTAACCATATTTAACAAGTCACATGCTTTTTGGCCACTTATCATGTTAGAAAGTAAACACAAGATTTTAACAAATCTTGTAGATCCATTTTAAATATACAACCAATATTATTACACAGTTACATACTATTGCGCTCCGTTTGGATGGAGGGATTTGGTGAGAAAAGTGTTAAAATCCACTTCACCTCTCCACCTACTTCACCCACTTAAACCTACTCCACTAAACCTAACCCACTACACCACTACCACCTCACCTACTCCACTAAACCTAACCCACTACACCACTACCACCTCCACTTCACCTACTCCTTACCTACTACACACTCACCCTCTTCTATATATAGGAATCATGAATCATTGTAATAAACATAACAAATCAATATACAATCAATCAATAATACAATTCTCTATTTCTCTTTATACATTAAATTTCTTCATGGTATCAGAGCCATAAGATTTAGGCCCGTATTTTGTTTTCTCACCGGCGGGCAGTCGGCCGGCAACCTTGCCTTCGCTGCCCGCTGGCGGCACCGCACCTGCGCTGAAGGTTGCCCAATTTAGGCGGAAAGTTTGCTCGGTATTTGGCATTGTAGTACCATTAAAACTCTGCAGAACTTTCTCTCTCCTTCACTCCTAGTTTTCCTCTGCGCTACTCCACACCCCCACCCATTTCATATTGCCCTTATCCACCGCCACAGTTAACAAATCATCTGATTCAAGCTACTTCTTCTTCATAATCTGCTTCTTTATTGTGCACCTTGTTCCAGGTGATAATACTGTAGATGGCAGCATCATCAGCTTGCCTAGTGGGAAGTGGTTTATCTACCCATAGTACTAAACCAAGTTTGGGCAAAGAGATCTATGGCAGGCGCCTTTTTTCTTCCTCTAGCCTTCTGTCATTGGGTAAGTTATTAAAAAGAAATTATGTAACAGCATCTCTGGACCAAAGGCACCATGAAGGAAGAAGAGGTTTTTTGAAGTTGTTACTCGGAAATGCAGGACTTAGTGTACCTGCCTTACTTGGTGGTGGGAATGCATATGCTGATGACCAAGGGTTTTCTTCCTCCAGGATGTCTTATTCTAGGTTCTTGGAGTACTTGGACAAGGACAAAGTGAAAAAGGTAGATTTATTTGAGAATGGAACCATAGCTATTGTTGAGGCTGTTTCTCCAGAATTGGGGAATCGGGTGCAACGAGTTTGGGTCCAACTCCCTGGACTCAGCCAGGAGCTCCTTCAGAAGTTCAGGGAGAAGAACATTGACTTTGCTGCGCACAATGCTCAAGAGGACTCAGGTTCTCTATTGTTCAACTTAATTGGAAATTTGGCCTTCCCACCAATCTTAATTGGGGGTCTGTTCCTTCTCTCAAGGCGGTCATCTGGAGGAATAGGAGGTCCTGGTGGACCTGGATTTCCTCTTGCCTTTGGTCAGTCAAAAGCCAAGTTTCAGATGGAACCTAATACTGGAGTGACATTTGATGATGTTGCTGGTGGAGATGAAGCAAAGCAAGATTTCATGGAGGTGGTGGAGTTTCTGAAGAAGCCTGAGAGGTTCACTGCAGTTGGGGCTCGTATCCCTAAAGGAGTACTTCTTGTTAGTCCTCCACTTTACACCTCACATGCCTTCTCTCTGTCTAAACAATAATTTTCCACCACCCAACTTTCTTTTTATTTTCTTTTCTTTTCTTTTATTTTATCACCCACTCACTTCTTATGATGAAAACACAATGGACCCAACTTCATGCCAGCCACATGGGCCTGTCCCTCCGCCAATGCTCTCATCCTTTTCCTTTTTTCATATATATATTTATTTCGCCAACCAATACCACTTTTTTTAATTCCTTAATTTATTTTAATAACATGAGTGGCCTCTCTTTTCCACCATCTCCCTCTTTTTCTACACAATATTTTTGTACCACCGCCCACTCCATGATTTCCATATTAATATTATTATTATTATTATTATTATTATTTTTATTATTATTTTCACAAAAAAAAAAAAAAAAATTCATTCCAGTTGATTTTTCTGCCTTACCACACCTACCATTCGAGTTTGCCAAACACACTTATTTTATTCATGTCAGGATCCGCTGCTCCTCCACTGCAGCATATGGCGGACCTCCAAATCGGGACATCACGGTGGCTTTCCGCTTCAGCTCCTTGTTTTCTTCCCTTAGCACACTTATCTCTGCTCGCGCATCCTTATACATGCGCTGGAGCAGAGCCAGTTGGGCGTTTAACTGCTGCACCTCATTTGTCCTACTCTGCAGCCGGTGCGACAAGTTTGTGACCGCAGTCATGGTTTCCACACATGACTTCAATGTATACTGATTGGCCTCCACATCCGATTGCACTGCCATTCTTTGCTCCACAGACCGCATAGGAAAGTTCAACGGAGCAAACTCCGGGGCGCTTGGTTGAGGTTCCAGTGCCACCGCACCAGTTATCTCTCTTGTTGACTCGTTGAGGTCGGGAAAGAGAGTGAGCAGACCACGGGAAGATGAGGCCATGTTCTGGGTAGCTGAACGGGAAGAAGAGGCCATGTTTTTTGGGTTGCTGAGTGTTTCCGAGAAGGGTTGGATACAGAGTATTTACAGATTGTTTCAGAATGACAAGTTCAGAGGTTTCAGTCTGGTTTCGTTTCCACCGCCTCCGCATTGGTTTATATCGACACTGACGACGCGGCCGACACGCCACTCTGTCGCTCACGTGCCTCGCCGCGTCTCCGGCTCACCTTTTGATGGCTCGACGCTTTCTGTCGGGCACGCCTTTTGATGAAGTGGGCGCGACTTTTGAAGGCTCACTATATATATCCATATATATATATATTTGGGCAGCCTATATACACCATCATACAGTGTATTTTTTAGGGGTCCGACAAGACTCTCTAAACTGTCCCGACATTGATTCCGGTTAGCTCCTTCATGGGTCCGACAAGACTCTGTAAACTGTCCCGACATAGATTCCGGCTAGTTTCTACAAGGGTCCGACAAGACTCTGTAAACTGTCCCGACATTGATTCCAGTTAGCTCCTTTATGGGTCCGACAAGACTCTGTAAACTGTCCCGACATTAAAAGAATCGTGGGAAAATAAAATGGCAACAATAAAAAAAAATGTTAATCAATACGGTACATTTTCTGTGTTGTGTAATTATTGTTTAAACTGTCTTCTACATCGGTCCGACATGACCCCATAAACTGTCTTCTACATCGGTCTGACACCGCCATCCAGTGTCCTCTACATGGTTATGACACCCCCATACAGTGTCCTCTACAACGTTATGACACCACCATCCAGTGTCTTCACCAATGGTCTGACGCGACCATACAGTGTCTCTTATCCTCTTTTATTTTTATGTATTTTCTTGTTTTGTTACTCTCTCCAAACTCAAGTTGGTTAGTTCCTATCCCCCTTGAGTTTGCAGGGGGCTGTTAAAATCCACTTCACCTCTCCACCTACTTCACCCACTTAAACCTAATCCACTTCACTTCTCCACCTACTTCACCCACTTAAACCTACTCCACTAAACCTAACCCACTACACCACTACCACCTCACCTACTCCACTAAACCTAACCCACTACACCACTACCACCTCCACTTCACCTACTCCTTACCTACTACACACTCACCCTCTTCTATATATAGGAATCATGAATCATTGTAATAAACATAACAAATCAATATACAATCAATCAATAATACAATTCTCTATTTCTCTTTATACATTAAATTTCTTCAAAAAGAAAAGAAATGGTGAGAATAGGAAACCCCTTCACTTGTGTGGATGGTTAAGTAAGTGAGAAATGATGAGAGATGGTGAGAAAAGGATTCTCACCAAACCTATGTTTTGTTTCTCACCAAAAGCGGTGAGATTTGGTGAGAAATGAATTGATTTAATGAAACTTTTCTGAAATACCAAAATTACCCTTATGAAAAAACATAGCTTATTAATATGGACGGCTATTTTAGTGAAATGAAACACAACACTTTCCTTTCTTTTTTCTTTTTTACTCTATCCAAACAAGAGAGGTGAGAAACCACATTATCTTCTCTTTTATTCATCTAAATATAATGGGGAGCTACGTTACACGGACTCTTTGTTTTTTGAGAGGTACCCGTGTTGACATGACACAACACGAGTACGGGTGCTGAATACTGTTAATTTTAGAGAATACCAGATTAGGGAATGATTAGGATATCATTCCCTATTGATATTAATGAAGATTAATAATTATAAGGAAGCCCTAAAGCATAAAATAATTACAAAATAATAACCCAAACAATCATATATTATTCTAACACTCCCCCTCAAGCTGGTGTGAAGATATCTCTCATGGCCAGCTTGCGTAAAATGTCATGAAATGACTTACTCCCAACTCCCTTGGTGAGGATGTCAGCAAGTTGTTCACCAGACTACACAAAGGGAGTACATATTGCACCACCAGTGAGTTTTTCCTTAATGAAGTGGTGATCAATCTCAACATGTTTTGTCCTGTCATGTTGAACCGGATTGTGAGCGATGTTGATAGCGGCCTTGTTATCACAACATAACCGCATGGAGTCCGTCTAATCAATACCTAGATCACTCAACAATAACCTAATCCATAAGAGCTCACACACCCCTTGTGCCATAGCTCTAAACTCAGCTTTTGCACTCGACCTGGCAACCACATTCTGTTTCTTACTCCTCCAAGTAACTAGGTTGCCTCCAACAAAGGTGCAATACCCTGAAGTCGATCTCCTATCAGTCACTGATCCAGCCCAGTCAGCATCTGTATAGGCTTCTATACGAAGATGATCATACCTTGAAAAATAAAGACCCATACCAGGCGCAGACTTCAAGTACCTCAAAATTTGCATGACAGCCTCGAAGTGAATCTGATGAGGAGCATGCATAAACTGGCTAACCACACTGATAGCAACAGCAATATCAGGACCAGAGTGAGATAGGTAAATGAGTTTAGCCACTAATCGCTGATAGCTCCCCCTGTCAATAGTTGCTCCTCCTTCACCATCCCCCAATTTCTGATTGAGTTCTAGTGGAGTGTATCCCAGTTTCCTTCAACAAATCAAGCACATACTTCCTCTGTGAGATAAATATCCCATCCTTGGAGCGAGCAACTTCAATTCCCAAAAAATACTTCAAGCTCCCCAAGTCTTTGATCTCAAACTCACGAGCTAAATATTTCTTCAACAGAGGAATTTCCTCACTATCATCACCGGTAAGAACTTTGTCATCTACATAAACAATGAGGGTTGTAGTCTTACCAAGTGAGGAATGTTTCACAAACAAGGTGTGATCTACCTGACTCTATTTGAAGCCATATTAAGCATAGCTTGAGTGAATCTCTCAAACCAAGCTCTCGGAGACTGCTTGAGTCCATATAATGACTTTCGAAGCCTACATACTTAGCCTTTTGGCTGATGATCCTCAAAACCAGGAGGAATGTCCATATATACCTTTTCTTCGAGGTCACCATGGAGAAAGACATTCTTTACATCAAACTGACGAAGTGGCCAATCTAGATTAGCTGCTAAAGAGAGAAGCACTCTGACTGAATTCATCTTAGCCACGGATGCAAAGGTCTCCTGATAGTCAATGCCATACGTCTGAGTGAACCCTTTTGCCACAAGTCTAGCCTTGTAACGCTCAATAGAACCATCTGTTTTGTGTTTCACAGTATACAGCCATTTGCATCCCACCGGCCGTTTGCCCTTAGATAACTCAGTCAATTCCCAAGTACCATTCTTCCTAAGTGCTTTCATTTCCTCAATCATGGCAAGTTTCCACTCAAAGGTAACAAGAGCATCCTTAAAATGGTTAGGAATGCTAACATAGGAAATATTGGACACAAACGCTTTATATGAGGACGACAAATGAGAGTAGGACACAAAATTTGAGATAGGATGTTGAGTACAAGACCTCACACCCTTTCTCTTGGCAATCGAAACATCAAGATCAATGGACTCAAGAGATTCAAAGTTACCTGGACTCTCATCAGAAGTAGGAGATGACAGGGGAGAAGCAGAAGTGGTCTCTTGTATCTAGTTAACTTTCTGTCTGTCTTTGTCCCTGACAAAAACTTGCCCTTCCCTATCCTTGGTGACATTGGGTTCTGCAGTCCCAGTATGAGATGGCGGTGCAAGAACAACTGGTTCCACCATAGGAATCACAGGAATCACTTCACACCAAAGCTCCCCCTGAAGGGAGAACTGTGACACCGGAGAGGACAAGAAATAGGATTGGGACTCAAAGAATGTGACATCCATGGACACAAACCACTTACGAGGAGGGTAGTAACACTTATATCCTTTTTGAGTAGGAGAGCACCCAAGGAAAACACATTTGAGAGAGCGAGGGTCCAACTTACCACGAGTAGGAGAGTGATTATGGACAAAACAAACACAACCAAATATTTTAGGAGGAATAGAAAACAAGGACTGGGAACCTAGGAGGACTTGAAAATGAGCTTGTTTTTGCAAGACCTGAGTAGGGAGACGATTAATAAGATGGGCAGCGGTGAGAACAGCGTCGCCCCAGTAGGACCGAGGCATACTCATAGAAAAACACATGCACCGAGCCATGTCAAAAAGATTGTGATTCTTACGTTCCGCCACCCCATTTTGTTGAGGGTATTGGTGCAAGAGGTCTGATGGATAATGCCATGAGTAGAAAAATATTGCCCTAACCCAGAATCTATGTATTCACCCCCATTATCAGAATGGAATATTTTGATAGTGACCCCAAACTAAGTACAAATCATCCTATGAAAATTGTGGAACACAGAGAAAACCTCACTCTTGTCTTTCATGAGATACACCCAAGTAGTACGAGAAAAATTATCAATAAATGTAACAAACCAGCGATGACCTTTCACAGACACAACACGAGATAGACCCAAAACATCAGAATGTATTAATGAGAAAGGAACTAAACTTTTATTAAAACTGGGAGCAAAAGAAGCTGTGTGTTGTTTGCCAAACTAACAAGACTCACAAAGAAATTCAGACACATTATTGTTTGAAAAAATAGATGGAAATAAATGCTTAAGTAAAGAAAAAGAAGGATGCCCAAGACGCCGATGCCGCAGCCATATATCATCCGTGGCAGTAGGACGCATGGTGGAAGAATGAGCAAGCTTGTCCTGTTGATCCAGGAAGTAGAGACCATTTTCTGCACTACCACTGCCAATCGTCCTCCTCGTGACAAGGTCCTGAAGAAGACGATGATCAGGAAAAAATGTCACACTACAATTCAAATCCTTTGTAATACGATTCAAGGATAGCAGGTTAACAGAAAAATTGGGAACATGGAGAACAGAAGAGAGAGATAAAGTAGGAGTGATATGGACTAAACATTTCTCAGAAATAGAAGAAACAGTACCATCTGCAATCCTAACTTTGTCCTGACCTGAAAAGGGCTTATAGGCAAAGAAGAGATCAGAGGAGCCAGACATATGATCTAAGGCACTAGAATCAATAATCCAAGGCAAAGACTTATGAGATAGGAAAACACAAGGAGAAGAGGCTAAGTAACCTGAGCGGGCAAATGACGAGGAAGATGTACTGAGAGCAATAGAAGATCGGCGGTCCAGCAATTGACGCAGAACACCCTCAAGCTCATGAGTAGTCATGCCAGAGAGATCATTAGAAGCCTGGCCAACGGAAGCAGAATTAGAATCAAGTGTATCAACGGCACTAGACTGATGAGCCCGAGAATAGGAGCCACGTCCTCTAGACTGGCCTGACCGACCTCCTCTAGAACTAGACCGATCACCTCGACCCCCGGATGGAGTCCCATGAAGCTTCCAACACATCTCACGAGTATGCCGTGGGTTCTTACAGTAATCACAGAATACAGACTCCTTGGCGACAAACGGAGGAATGGGAGTCAAGCTAAGGCCATCTCGAGAGGTAGACAGTAATGCTGAGCGGTCAGTAGAGAGAGGGGACATCATAGCAGACTAGCAACTCCTCATTCTGGACATAGGCAAATGCCTCCTGAAGTGAAGGAAGAGTATCCATACTGAAAACCCGACTCCGAACCGGATCATACTCCACAATGAGACCGGCCAAAAACTTGAAGACCCTTTTCCTGTCCAATGAACTTCCTGTACCCGACAGAATCAGCAGTGCAAACAGGCTTATAGTCCTGCAAGTGATCAAGGCGTTTCCAGCCGTTGGTGAGGAAGGTGAAGTACTGAAAAACCGTCTACTCCCCCTGAATAGAGCTCTCAATAGAGCGACGTAACTCAAATGCCTGGGAGAAATTCCCTTTGCGGGAATAGGTGGTAGCCACAGCATTCCAAACATTTTGGGCAGTCTCCATAGACAAGTAGCCCTTGCCAATGTCTGGTACCATCGAATGAATAAGCCAACCCATAATCAAAGAGTTAGTAATCTTCCATTGGTCATAACCCGGGTCAGTTGTGCTGGGTGCCTGTATCCTGCCATCCACATATCCCATCCTCCCCCTGCTCTTCAAAAACATAATCAAACTCTGCGACCAAGCGAGATAGTTCTAACCATTAAATAGAGAGGTGGTGATTTTAAGACTAACGTTGGGGTTATCAGTCATAGTAATAGGTATAGGGAGACTCACTCTTGCGTGTCTAAGAAGTAGTGGACACATCGGTGGAATCTACCATAGATACTGTACTACCGAACCCACAACAAAACTAGTGTCAATCACAAACCTGGAAGGTGGTGGTGGTAGAAGGAAAAACAAACAACCACTATGATAGTAAAGAATTAACAACTCATACTATTTTCTTCTTCTTTTTTTCTTTTTTTTTTTAAGAAAAATAAAACAAACAGTGTTGGGTTATATACCTAGGTCATATAAACACAGAGCAAACAAACAACTCAAGAGTGAGAGACAGAGAAACAAGACAGACAGAGAGAGGAAGACGACAAGAGAAGCGAAGCAGAGGGAGAGTCGAGCAGTCGAGAGAAGCGAGGTAGGGTAGCGGAAGGGGCAAGGCAGTCAGCTGAAGCCAACGAAGACTGAGGAGCTGTCGGCTAAGTCATCCAGTGGTCAACAAAGCTAGCACAAACGACGATGATGAGCCGAGGGTGATTCAGTGGTCCACGTTCATCACACCAGGTGAGTTCCGAACCCTAGGTGAACCGAAACCCCTCAGGCTTGACACGAACGAAGCCAATGAAGCCAATAATGATGATGATCCGAATGTGATTCGGCTTGGTTGGCTCCGGAAGTGGGTTGGTGGCTCCAGTGGGTACTGTATGCTTAGAGGAATTTAGGTTTTAGGGTTAGCTCTGATACCATGTCAATTTTAGAGAATACCAGATTAGGGAATGATTACGATATCATTCCCTATTTATATTAATGTAGATTAATAATTACAAGGAAGTCCTAAGGCATAAAATAATTACAAAATAATAACCCAAATAATCATATATTATTCTAACAAATACGACCGGGACACGGCTGTTTACAAACAGATACGACAGAGCCCTAATTGCAAAAGAGAAAGAAGAGAGAGAAATGAGACAACCTGGTCATCAACTTCAAACGGATGAAGACATTGATGTCAATTAAAGATAACATATATAGATAAATTAAAAATATTATTAAGAGAAATTATTAGGTGTGGTACTTTTGGTTTGGGAAGAAATTATAATAGAACTGCCATGTTATCAAAAAAATACATAAAATTTTATCAGAAAAATACAAAATATTTTTTTGCAAATCCATGTTTAATCGTATCCACATACCCGTGTCTAATTTTTGGGTACTTTTTAGCCGTACCCGTGTATCCCTCATTTAGAGGTTTGTTGAGTCCGACCTCTAAATACATACCCACACCCGACACTCGTACACGAGTCCATGAAATGTAGATGGTGAGAAACCATAATCATTTCTTTTCTCACCTCACCTCACCTCACAATCCAAACGGAGTGTTACTGTTCAAAGCATAAAAGAGCTTTCTAAGGAAGGCGGCTCACTAAACAATGTTTGAGAAGACAATTGTCCACGTATGAAGCAATGTTATTTTCAGTCCATAATTCTTTTACAATGTACAGGTTCCTATACAATTGGATGCATATTACATGTATGAATAGTAGGCACATTTCCTACTCTAACAAGTTTTCCACGAGGAAAAAAAAAGGGGAGTAATTGGTAAGTAATATAAATATTAGTTCACACTCATGCAACCAAGTTACCTTACCAAAAGATAGTAGCCATTGAATTATTGACCAAGTAAATACAGTTTCTGCTGCCAACTAACTACACACGTAGGTATCCAGTTACAAAAATGCAAATCATGTCCTTCCATTCTAGGGTAGGACTGAAAAATATGAATGAGTTGTGCAAAAGCCATGGCGTTGGTCTCCCATACCCTTCTTGTTCACTCTCCATGCTCTTTATCTCTTTCTTTTTTTTCTTATTTAAACAACCTTCACACAAGTTACAGCACCTAGGCACTGTTTCTGACATAAATTTCAACCACTTTTCCTATGAAAAATATGTTTCATCATTCTAAACAAATCATATCTTCTTTCTTTTTCCTTTTTTTTTCAGTTACTTTTCAAGGTTTCACAGATTAGGTTAAAAGATCCTGATCCTTTGTGAGTTGTGTGTCATTATGTGTCAAACATGCATTAACTATTGAATCAAATTATGAAAAAATATTCTGACTGCTCAACTATGTTATGGTTTTATTATAAAGCTAGGTATTTTGCCAAAAATTTGCCCCCAATTATAATAATAAACACTTCAACTAATGATGTCAAAGATTACCGTGCAGGTGTAATAACAAAACTCAGGTTGATGCGCCGTGAAGCAGGAACAGAACTTGTAACTCTGCATTTGACAACTTGTTCAACATGATACAGCGAAGTTGGGTCATCACCAGGTTCTAAACCAAGCTCAGATCTGGGTCAGATACAATCAGTTAGTTTCTTTCAATGATCAGATAAGGACACACAACATCAAATAAGATGATAGTCAAACAGAAATTTGCTACAAATAATAATTCTTTTTTTTTTTTGTTTCAGGTACAATACTTTCTTCTTCCTCTCTCTTTTTTATTTTTTTCCCAGTGCATGGGGGGCAAAGGGATAAGGAGAAAGAAACAGTAACACTTATAGAAGAAACTCCAATCAATTAAACAAACTGCACAAAATATGATTAAAACATGCACAAGCTAACACACCTACCCATAAACACAAAGAGGCCAATGCACACCTTCCCCCCATATTTTTCCCATGACTAGAACCCGAGCCACAAGGCTGAAGGTGGATATCACATGCATCACACCAGGACACAACCTCTTATATACAGACTTAAAAGAACTCCCAATTCAAACAAAAGATTAATATTCCAAAATTTAAAGCTTGAGGCATCGAGTTCTAAAAAACCTATCTAACCAAATTCAAACAAATTCAGAGACTCAAAACCATCAAATGACCGATATACTGACCCATGGGTGACTTCTATAGCCATGTCCATAAAATTTAAGAAAAAAAAGTTCTATTGCCTCTTTATTGTCCAACTCATGTGATGGAGAATGCATCGGATAAGGATAAGAATAAAAGTTCTATTTATCTATGAATTTTATTTATCAAAAAGCTATTTATCTAAGAATTTTATCAATTTAGGAAGTCGAGTTTGTTTAGGATTAGTTAGGCATGCTTATAAATTAATCTTTTATGTAATGGTTTAGCTGACTTGGAAAACAATTAATAATTATCGTTTTGACTTATGATTGATGTGAAAGCCTAGGGTGATTGCTGCTATGTCTGAAACTAAACTCCTTCAATGTTCAATCCTAATGTTTCTCGTCTTTTCTTTTCATTCTTTCTTATTGATCCTGCATCAATTTAGGTGTCAGATCCTGGCATTGACCAACCTCATTCATTCAAGAAGTTCATCGAACAGATGGAAACCACCAATGTTTCAAGTCTTGATGAACCATCAGCAGCATCAACATCATCACAGACATTACCCATCGCATATATTGAAGTTTGGGGACCAATTACTATTTTGGATCGCATCGACACTACTTTTCGTCATTGTCCTTGTCACTTCACTGCCTCAAATCACCAGATCATCCATTGTCAATCACAACCAACACCTTCGTGCCTCACTGCCACTGTCTTTCAATTTAGAATTGCAGGGTAGCCTGAACTGATGCAATCCACAACATTAACTTCGATCTGTTTGCGACAGATAATTCCATGACTCGTTGCTGGAAATAGCAATGATCGTCAACATCCCTTGTTGAGTCATTATTTCTTCCATCAAAGCCACATCATCTATTACATCACTGTAGGCGATGCTTCCCTCATGCCGATGCCACCATCAAAAGCCAGATCCCTTGTCCGTGGCCGTGTTACTGCTCAACATTGTCAGTGTTGTGTTCTGTATTCACTCGAGGTTTCATTATAGCTATATAGTGCCTTTATGTGCTGCTATTTACTACATGAGGAAAACATTGTGCAAAGAAAAGAGTATAAAAACCCTTGATTAGACACAAGTCTAACCCAGAGCCAAGAATATTTAACGCAAAACAAGCCTAGCCCAACCGAACAGTCCAGACGACAATAAATACCCACACTGACCCAAGTCCTACCTTTATTATATTGATCCAGCCATTTTGTCTTACAAATAAAGATTTCCAATCCAATAATATAATGAACCAATAACCCAACTCAATCCAACTGCCCCTGCCAAAGCCTAAACATAACAAGGATCAAAAATTTCATTCCGGTATGTTGTTTCATGTAGCTTGGAAATGAAAATGTTTTAGAAACATTTCAGAAATATTATGGAAACGTTTCAAAAATCTCTCAAAATATTTCGAAACCATAAGGGAAATGATAAAAGAATTTGAAAATGTTTAATATCAAAAACTAAAACCTATATAAATGTTAATACATTATCAATAATTAAATAATTACACTTTTTTTTTATCAGCTACAAAATATAAATTAATTAATTAATTAAATAAATAAAATACAAAATTCATTAATAATGAAAAAAGGGGTACAAGGAGAGGACAAGATGGTGTTCAAAAAAAAAAAAAAAAAATACCCCCTAATTTCTTATGCAAATATAGCATTCAGGGGGGAATTCGTAATTTCTCAAACCTCAGGGGGGTATCTGTAATTTTGTCAAACCTGGAGGGGTGTATATGTAATTTGCCCAAAAAAAAATGCCGAACCCGTTTAAACGGAGGAGAGGCGTATATCCAAATATTCAATCCTATCCTCAAAGATCTTTGCATTCCTTTTCAACCAAACTACCCAAAAGATCACAAAGACAACACAATGCCACTATATTTTTGATTTCTAATTGCCACCAAAACCACATAAATCAATTAAGAACAAATTTGCACATGCACCAACAGCCACCCAATGTGTTTTCAATCAAACAAAATAGTTGATGCCATAAATTCAAACCCAGGAGGCAATGCAAGAATAAATGATCCACCAAATCCCCTACACATGATGCACCATTGAGGATAAAGGAAATGATTCGGTCTCCTCCTTTGAAACATATCGTTGGTCATAATGCTTCCATGAGCCAACGACCACATAAAAATCTTCACTTCAGGAGACAACACCGTTTTCCAAATCCTCTTGTGCAACAAAAAAGTAGAAACATTGGGGTTGCGTTTGGTAGAGTTTTAGAATTATAATTTGAGAATAGAGTTGTATTTTGAGTTTGTGAGTTTAGGAATTATGATTTGAGTGAAGAAAATTTGTTTGGTTATGAGTTTTGAAAAGAGTGATGTGACATATGATATTGAAAGTGGGTGTTTTGAAAAGTGGGTGTGAAATTAATTTTCTAAAGTTGTAACCAAACAACACACACAAACTAAGAGGTAGAATTAAACTTCAAAAGCTCTACCAAACAAAGCCTGGGTTTCTCAATGACTGAATCAAAAAAAAGACTTGCATGAAAAGATTTCGGAAGAGTATTTTAGCCAAACTTACCTATCACAAACATTTGGAGACAACGAAAAATTATCAAGCAAAGGCAACAAAGATGCCAACTCAAGAGCCTCCTGATCATTAACATTCCTGATGAAATTGAAATTCCAAATAATTGGAGCTAAATTGGAGCATGCGAAAGATGCAATGGAAAATTTATTGAGAACGAACCACAATATACAAGTGTAAAACAACCTTGTTAAAGGAAGATTCACGCAACCAAACATCCTCCCACAACCTCTGCACTTTGACCTGTTGCAAATTAATACCAACCACACTGCTCTTGTTCAAATTAACCTACGACCGAGCATAATTTCAAAACTTCTCACAATCCCTAAAAAATTAGCTACCATACTTTCCTCCCTTGAAAAAAAAAAAAAATGTCATCCACATAATGTAAGGTGAGACACAAATTTCATCCTCCCAATAACAAAACCATCAACTAAACAAAGCCCCTAGCTCTATCTACTATCCTCTCCAACACAACCGCCACCAAAATAAAAAGGAAAGGAGAAAGTGGGTCTCCCTACCTTAATCCTCTAGATGCCTTAAAAGTGTTCCCTGCTTCTCGATTAACAATGACCGACAAGCAACCCATAATCCATTTCCTCCATCTTACCCCCAAACCCTTTATTTGCATCACAAAATCCAAAAACCTCCAAGCAATATGACCAACCATATATGCTTTTTCAAAAATAAGGGCCTCCTTTTTCAAAGCTCTATATTCTTCCACGCTTCATTTGACACCAAAACAATATCCAAAATATGTCGGCCCTTAACAAAAACACCCTACACTAGAGATACAGTCTCCCCAAAATGGTTCCCAATCTTTTTGATAGAAATTTCCCCAAAATTATAAAGGGGTGTAACCAAATTGATGGGTCTAGAATTACCTTCGCTGGGTTTTCCTTTTTTAGGATCAGACAGATAAAAGAAGCATTTGTGCGCAAGTTAACTATTCCCTTCTCATAGAATTCATCAAAATCACTCACTAGATCCTTTTTCACTATCGCCCAACAATCTAGGAAGATCGCCATAGAGAACCCATCTGGGCATGGAGCTATATCACAATCAAAGACTACCTCTCTAATCTCAATTTCACCAAATGGTCTCGGCAACCAACTTGCTCTATATTCATCGATCGACATCCAATCAATTCCATCAATTCCTAGCTTCTCGACTCCCCCATCAGGGTAAAACCTTCAGTAAAAATTTAAAATCTCACTAACAAGTCGATCCTCCCTATCCACATACACTCCTTGATCAGCCTCCAATATTTTGATGAATGTCTTTTTCATCTTTCCATTAGTCATTCTATGGAAGAGCCTTGAGTTAACATCACCCTCCCTAACCCATTTTAATTTTGCCTTTTGGGCCCAAAAAAATATGCTCCATAAAATTAAATCTTCCAAATTCACTTTTAAATCAGCCCATTTGGATCTCAAATTCCCCACCAAATCCTCCCTAGCCTCAATGGGTATCCAACTCCTCAATATTCCTAATAATCTAATTCTTTGTTCCTTTCAAATCTCCAAAAGCCTCTATTCCATATCTTCAAGTTTTCCTTGATCTTCATTAGTTTTTTCACAAACCTAAAACCCTCCCATGCAAGGTTCTAAAAAGCGGTTACGGTCGCCGTAACAGTGGCGGTAGCGCGGTTGCTGTTGCGGGGTGTAAAGGCCGTAGTGTAACAGTTGCGGTAATCGGAACCGTGAATTTTTTTATTTTTCGCACAATTTGAAAAAAACTTATCGATACGCATATTTTTTTCCATGATCGAATTTATTGCGTTAAAAATAAATATTGATCAATTTTTGTAAATTTTTATGTATGATCCAATATATTTGATATTTTTAAATCACTATAAACTGAGTTTTTTACATTTTATTTTAATAATTAATGACTTTATATTATACAAAAAATCAATCACTAACTATTATATATAAGATAAACAATGACAAAAGTAAGGGAATAAATAAGTGCCTAAATATATATATATATATATAAATATACATATTTTCACCAAGCCAAATAAATAATGACGACAATTATTATTATTATTATTTTCAAATAATATATAGATAGACACATACAAACAAAATGGTTGAGTGATAGCAGCTGAATAGACTAGCATAGGTCTTACAGCTTCAACAAATCAATAATATATTCTTCATCTTCCCTCTTCTCTCTCTCTATCTCTTGCTCTTCCATTCTCTCTTTATCTTCCCTCTTCTCTCTATCCCTCTTCCCCCATTTTCAGCTTTTTTTTGTGTGTTTTTTTGAAAAAAACAGTTTGGAACCGTTACATAACGGTGCGTAACAGGCCGTTACGGCTGTTACGGCGCTGTTACGACCGCCGTGGCAACCGCTACGGCCGACACACCTGTGAATCTCAATCACACTGCAAAAGCGGCCATAACGGGTGGCGGTAACCGCCAAAACTGTTACGTAACGGCGTTACGTAACGGTTGCGACCGCTTTTTCAAACCTTGCTCCCATGAATGACATCCACAACTATTTCATCACACCCCAAAATCTTCCTTAAAAGAATGGTGTTCGCAGCACATATTTTCAAACCTAAAAGGTGATGGACCCCATATTAATGGACAACTCTCCATGATCGCCAGACAATGATCTAAAACGATTCTTGGAAGACCCTCCTACCTTGAACTAGGAAATAATTCCTCCCATCCCAAAGCAACTAAGAACCTATCCAACCTACTACATATCAAATTTTTTTGAAGATTAGACCCAAGTAAATATAGCATTACACAAAGAGGGGTCAATCAAATCACAATCTCTTATTAAAGAGTCAAAGTCCCTCGTGCTCCTATTTGTTGAAGTCTCATTAAAGAGTCAAAGTCCCTCATGCTTCTATTCTTGAGGTTCCTAGTTCAAGCCATTCTAGCAACACCAATTCTATATTTTTAGCAAATTTGGCATTGTCCAATTGTACCAAGACCCAAAAAGCACCAAATTATTTCTCGAATCAAGTGGATATCTTCAGAAACCAAACTGCACCACTTTTGCCATACTACTCACAGGAGAACAATTTTTTTTTATTGGCACCGGGGTGTCCGGATCAAAACCCAACTAATTCCCAGTGGTGCCCAGGCCCTCAGCAAGGAGAATAATTTTTTTTATTACAAATTGTATTTTTATTTAATAATAGTTTATTATTATTAGATTAGGTTTAGGTTTTCTCTTTTATGTAAACACATGTAACCCTTGTTATTTGGGGACGACTTTTTAGAGAGAGAGAAGGAAAAAGATTGCTAGGGTTTTGCTATTATCTTCTTCAATAATAGTAAGTTTTATAACTTTGATATATATATATATATATATATTTTATTGGCACTGGGGTGTCTAGATCAAAACCCAACTACTCCCCAAGAGTGCACAGGCCATTGGCAAGGAGTTTCCCATAAGTGCACCACAGTTAATTCAAGGGTTAACCCCTAGTCCAATTGCCCCAAGGAATTGTTAGTACCTAAGTGGTTTCGATCCTGAACCTTCGAAGAAGCACACCCCAAGACCCAAGCCTTGCCACCAGACCAACCCCTTGGGGTTTTTATGACTTTGATTATTTCTTCAACAATGTGTAACTAAACTATTAATTAAGGTTAAAGATGAAACCACATGCTTCATAGTAATTAAATATTAACCTAATTGTATTTTCTTGAATTGTGATTTAATTGATTAATCGTTCTTGTCTCTTCGTAATTAATTCAGTAAATTTTGGACATGAATTTAATCATGTTTCTTTCATGATTTGAAATCTACTGATTAATAGTTTGCCTTGATTATTATCTTGTTCAATTCGTATATTGGATATCTACTGTGATTTGTGCAAACGGATACATTAGATGATTAGATTTTTAACTTTTAGGCGAGGAAGAACGTACATAAGATAATTATTTTCAAAAGAATTTAACGATCCTATTTTCCATAAAAATTGAGATTGATTTCCATATTATTGTGAAGAGAATTAAAAAAACAAAAAAAAAACCATTCAGATTATGTTATTAATTATTATGCATGCTTGAGTGTGGATTTTGAAACCTTAGTTCTATTCATCAGATTAATTTATTCTTCAATTCCATTATTTCTATATTTATTTAATTATTTTTTCATTGCATATTTAGAATTAATTTCAATCACACCAAAATTTGTTCACTACATTAGGATCTATTTAATTTGAAATTGATTAGTTGTTGCAAAAATCATTAGTGTTTGTGGGTTCAACCTCGCATTCATTAAACTATACTATTGTACGGTCCATACACTTGCAAGTAATTAAAATTGACACATCACCCTCCATGGCCTCTAACAGGACAAGGATATTCGCAACAGATTATAAAAAAGTAAAGAGTCATAGCATGTTTTGTTTTGCGCTATGGAACCAATCTGGTTTTCCAAATATATGTAATGTAACTTTTGCCAAGCGTGGTATAGTTTGCTCATTCAAAAAATTGAAGAATTTTAATGAAGAAAATGCAGAGTCCAAATAAATACATCATATCTATTTAGAGACTCAAGAAGTTGTCAAATCATCCAAACCCCCAAAGTCAATAAGTTAATCGGGCTTATGCCATAACTAAAGTCTAAATAGAACCCACTAATTATTTAGATTCCACATCTCTTAGACAAAAACCATAGCTTTATTTGACAACTACTAAAATCATATGCATGCAAAAAAAAATTGATGTTAAACAAAAGCATAAGAGCTAAAAACCTTTGGAGTTGGGAGCCAAAGGAAACAAAAGAAACCAGCTATTTTATATTGTTTAGCATAGCTAATTTCAAAGAAGAGAAGAGGCCTAAAGACCATCATTATGTAATTACACTACTTTTTTTTCTTGATAAGCAAGACAATATTCATTAAATTACAATCACATTATTACCACAATTCACACTCAAGCCAAAAGAAAGTGATTGGAACTGAAATTAAAGGTGCTGATACTAACCTTGAGGCAAATCCCTGTACTCCATTGTAAAATCGCACAAAGCATCCATGGTTTTCGATCTTGGTTATCCATCCATGTGTTATTAATCCTTCAGTAGCATCAGCATATGAACTAACAATTCCAAGCTTTGATTTCAACTGAAAAGATACAGAAAAAAAATGTACAAAACATCATACATGAGTGTATTGCAATTTTATTTTAATTTTTCATTTTGAATGACAGAAATTAACAGAAATGAAGAGGGTTGTTAGCACCCAAAAAAATTTTTTGCATTTTGTATCAAATGGAGTAAAATTTGTTACTCTAAGATTTATTCCTACATTTTGATAGCATGTTTCTTGAAATATGCAACCTACAATAATAGCTTACACTGTAACCAAAATTTCTCTCATTTAGATTCATTAAATGGGGGGACTAGATTCAGGCGTTGAACAATGCAAGGATAAATTAGTAGCAACTAGCAATACAAGATCAAATACGACATGATAATATTTAGGACACATTACAGACCACACCAATTGAAACAGGATAATAGAATCCAGCCTCAGATGATTTGCCATGTGCAATACTGCCAATACAGGTGCACAGGTAGCAGCAAGTGATTATTATTTATTTTTCTTTTTTTGCTGAGGGAACAAGAACAAAAATTGAAAATGAACAATCAATGACATAACTGATGCCACACTGAGTAAAGAAGAACAATCCAACGAGCTGATCCTTGGTAGTTGGGAAAGTCTCATTGAGTTACTCAAAGGATCTCAACAAAAACCAACTCATAGAAAAGAATAAAAAATTGAGTTCAAAATTGAAATATTCACTTTTATAAATGAGGACTGAAATGAAATGCAACTCTTTAAAATAAAGAGGGATATACAAGCATGTAATATGAGTCTGCATAACTAACAGGTGAATTGAGAAGGTGACCCCTCCTACACACATCATATACTTCATAGCAATCCAGTCAGCTCAAATTATGATAATTGAAAAATTCACAAAATTCATGCTCATGAAAAACAAATGTTGCAAAAATAAATCCTAAGGTCTCAAAGAGAGCTTGCTATGCTCAAGAATAAGATGACATTATCAACTCTACTTCCAGCACGGTAGCACCTACAATACGGAGGAATTTTCCACCCTCAACTCATGAGATGCTACTAAAATTTATACTTGGTAAGCTGTGACTTGTGAGATAAACAGGGACGGGAAAGAATAAAGTTCGGGTGGGGTCCGGTTGATTTCAGCTAAGAGGTGAAGTCTTCTAAAGGGTACGAGCAGTCCCATGTTGGAGGACAGGTTTTCCAAAGAAGCATATTACTGCCTTTCTGTTTTCCTGGATGAATTCATGAGACAATTTAAGAAAAAGTATATCTGGAAATTAAATTTTATGGGGTTATTCGAAAACCGGATGGAAATCACAAAAGAGAAAAAAAACACCATTTGTGGAAATGGCGTGTTATTGAGGCAATTCAGGGACTAAGAGAATTTTTTTTTTAGATGTTGGGGGTATTAGATCTATTTTCTATACTTTTTCTTGTTTTCTTTCTTTGTATTTTATTTGATTATACAAGGGATGTTACTTATGTGTGGCCCCTCAACACATTCTCTAATACAACGTGAACCTGTATGTACCCATTTGGTAATGGTTGACAAAGAGAACAAAAGAATTGCTAAGATGCAGCAGAGAGGAACACAAACCAACCAAGTCAAATTTACAACAATAGAGTTATTCCTCAAAGGCATATAAGGTTTCTTTCATAAAAACTCCGTAAACCAAAAGCATAATTTTAACAAGTTTCACAATCCCAGTGCACTAGTTCATTGATAGGGACATAGATACATCAAAATGTGATTTTAAACACCAAATAACAGTGAATGTCTTATTACCTCAGAAAAAACACGAGTAGCATCATTCACAAATCAATAATGATTAAGACCTCATACAACTTATTTGGGTTTAGCAGAGGAATTATTTTCTACCGGCTAGACACTTCTCTAGTGCAACAAGGCAAGCTTGGAATTACAAATTTGATCAATTTCAATCATTCCATTCATAGATTTTAAAACAGGACCAATCCAATAAAAGGGTTTGAACATCTAATTTAAGTTTTAAAGGAGTTCTTTAAAGTTTATAAGATTGTTCATGGTAAGTCTGGAAAAGCATACTAGTGTTTTCTTGTGAGTAACAGTGATTCTCTTGGACTTGCATCCAAGCACACGGAACTGTAGTTCAGCTCCAACCTGCACAGAAATTACCAAAGATAACATTAAACAAAGTAACTGACAAGAAAAAGAATCATCTCTTTTAACAGGATGGAAAAAAACAAACAAACAAACAAACAAACAAACAAACAAAAAGTATTTCTGCTCTCAATATACATCATGAACTGGTGCAAACTACCCACAGAAAAAATGCAGTAATAAAAGCATCTTTAAGAGGACATGTTGCTTAAAAATAACCTGAAACTTTTTTCTAGGCTTTGCTATTTCAAACTCTGACATATGTCGAAGGGGACAAAGTGCCTTGACACCACTGGGAAATTGAACAATGGCCCCAAAATTGTCCACAACAGTTACTTTAGCTCTTACCACCATGCCAGGCTTCACATCGGAGTGAGTGAAAACTGAACCTTCAAAGGCACTACTCTGCTTAAAAGAAAAACGCAAGGACAAGAATGTATGCAACCAGATAAGCCACATATTCATTAGTAACATTGAGGAAGCAAAAACACCATTTTTTCACACTTAACCATATAAATCCCCTTAATATATTCCAACCAGTCCGCTATTTATATTAACATTTCAGCAATAACATGGCAATTTGTAAGCCAAAACAATCATTTCTTTTGCATTAGAGAAAATTCATTACTAGAAGAAGCACATCAAAAAGCCTTAAATCAGAACATATCTTGCTAAAACATTTTTGCTAATCAATCAATAACAGCACCCAATCAACAGGAAAACTATATATTAAAGAATGATGCTGTAGACAGTGTGCAATACGATTTGGTGGACTAAGAAAGGTGTATATTGAAAGGGATGGGATTAAATCAACAGATGAACCAAAGCTTTATGTGGATACAAAATTGAGCATCAATGAGAAAAATGTACTTAGAGATATAATCATGATAGGGTATGAAATCACTAAATAAAATACATTAATACTTCCAAGATCCCAATCAAGTGGCACTCTTTATACAAACAAAATATCCTATGAATCCATTCAACACTAGAGAAATGGAATTTAACCTTCTAAGTTATGTTACCAAGAATCTGGATCATTCTAGTACGAGGAATGGGAACGGGAACGTAATACACCACATGCTCTAAAATCTGGTACGATAGAGGTGGACTTCTTAATTTAATATCCAATATATTATAGTTTATTTTTCTTCAAATTAATGATTCAACAACACACTTGTATGAATATTAAAGCCCATTGTTTTACATTTTCATAATCCAAAACTCCATTCCATCTCAATTTTAGTTCATTATATTTAAGTTTTCCCTATTAAGGAGACCTTTTAATAAAAAACATAGAAACAAATTATGGGATCACTAAATTCACCATTTTGGAACGAAAGTGTACCATGTTTCAGAACGTGCATTCCAAAACGTCGCTAAGGTGTTGGCATTTTCTAGTAACACTACTTCTAAGTAGACTATCTTTCTATAAGTACAAATAAAGTTTTATAGAGACCCTGGTGCACATGTAATGCACACAAAACATTAGTACACATGCCTTGCTGGGTTACCTGTAATTAATTACTTTTTCTTTACTTTCTCTTCTCTCATTCTTTCACATTGTACACATCATCAATCAATATTTTTCTCACCCATCTATTCAACTACCAAAAAAAAAAAAAAAAACCTACAAATCTTCTATGTTTTTTTCCCCAACAATGTTCCTTCACCATGTGGAAGAAATGGGGACGTGCTATCCAATAAGAACCCAACGCACAATGCTAACTGAAAACAAAGGTTGTATCCAGTGCATTACAGCGGAGTCTTGGAGAGGTACTAGGTAGGCAGGCAGCCATCCCTCCACTCTTTTTCTATAGTGGTTTTTTAGCAGAGAGGCTAATTCTCGTGACTCAAACCAACGCCACAACAAAATATATGTTGAAGTTCTTTTAAAAATTAGTTCATCAAACTGAGGCCAAAAATTACAGCTCCTTGTCTTAAAAATGTAACTTTTCTTGTAAAACAAATAAAAACATCATAAATGGTAATGAAGTCCCGGAGGAAATTTACTTGTGTACGTACATATAATGTAACCAGTACAAAAGCACACACAAAAGAGTCCAACCATCAAAAGCACACACAAAAGAGTCCAACCATCAAAAGCACCACAATAACAACCTAAACTAAAATATAGTTCAACCTAGAATATTCAACCTCAAATAGAATTCAATGGAAGATATAAAAGTGACCTTTAAAACACCCATAGCGAGCCCTTCCAAGTGCCTAAATCCAAGAATCCGAGCACGAACATGGCTCCCTTGCTTGAAGTTTTTTTCCAATTTCCTAACATCCTTGTCAGCGACATCAGATACCTATGAATCTCATAAATTAAATATTACCATTACAAAATCAGTAGCCCAGCTGAATAAAATCAAGATCACCACTACAACTTAAGATGCCAGGATGAACTTACACTGACATATGCTGGAGTTGGGATTGGAGAAGTAGGGACCTCAAGTAGAAGACCGAATCCTCTATCCACCCTGATTACTTTTGAATGGTCAAAGATATCTCCAGTTTTAACAAGCTGCATAATGGACCCAAAAAATGAACTCCATAACTGAGCAAATTGTATATCAATTTTGCTATTCCAAAACGCATTCAACTGGTACATAATATATATATATATCAGATAGAATGCAAAAGAAGAAGGAAAACAAAAGATATCGGCAGAAACAAAGAGAATTGTCAGTGAAGCCTGAGCAGCACCAAATCCCTTTAGGCACAAGAGCCAATAAGCGAAGCTAAAGTATGCTTAGGTAAGTTAACTAGCATATGCATGCTACAATCGTAAACCTGTCCTAGAGATTTTCAAGTCTTTTGTGTACAAAGCACGCTTTTACTATTTTGCTTCATTCTGGTGACCCCATGTACAAATGGATTTTAATAAAACTGTTCAACTTGTCCAGTGAAAAAAATTCTTTTAATGCACAATGGAAAAGCGTAATAAACCAAGTCTCAAAACCAAAAGTACCAAGCTTGAGCCCAAAAGAATGCACAAGCTGAAGCTTGGCCTCACGCATGTTAATTGTACCTTTTTCCTATGCACAGGGTTCAACTGTTAATTCGAAACAACCCAAATCATATTTAGAATCTGAACATATAAGAACTAAGAAGTACTAGATCACATTCACTCCAAGCAACATTTAATAAATAACAGCACAAAATAAATGATCTCTGATTGCAATCAATGTTCTTGCAACTTGGTATATTCAAGGAGAAAGCTCAGAATTATCAGAAGTACTAAACTTACAAAAGGTGGAGCCTTGTTATGGACAAGGTGAGGATTCAGAGTCAAACCAACAGCTCTAGTGAAGGGATCAATGAATAATATCCGAGCATTGACCTAATCCCAGGTAAAAGATATTAGTAAAAAAACAAAAATGAAGACTCATCAAAATTTGAGAAAGAATTAATGGCTTTAGAGACCATGGCTGGAAAACTATCAATGGATTAAATTTTACATTTCTAGCACAACAAACAAAAGCAAATAAAATTATAGAATCCCTGCAAAGAGCAATTTAAACAAATCTCAGTGAAGGTAAATCAGCAAGAGAACAAATCACTCCAATAAGGCCAATTCCCTCTTATGATGCTTTGATCCATCGAAACTTCTATATTTATAAAGCACCAGTTATGATATGAAGCACAAACACTCCAACACAAGTGCCGTAGCAATGTCGAACACGCCAGGGACATGGTGGACACGTACGGGACACACCAGCTGATGTGTCACCTTATTTAATTAATTTGTTTTTCAAGGCCAGGCTGAGGACACTTCGGGGACATGCCAAGTAGTTTTTTCCCCCTCTTCTTTACTGCTTTTGATGGATATTTTTATGGATTATCTATTCATTATTTAAATCTAGTTATATATAATATATATTGAATTACGGTTAGTTTTTGTTAATTTTGATTGTTTGTGGAGATTAATATTAATCTTCATAGCAAATAAAAATGTATAAAAAATAATATGTTTTTATTGTCATATCCCTGCAATGCCCATGTCCTCATTTTTTTTAAATCACCATATCCCTTGCCAGTGCTTGTGTCCGTTATTGTGCTTCTTAGGTTGGAGTCTAAGACTCTAATATTTACAATGGCTCTTGTATTTAATGTGTGAACATTTAGCTTCACCATAAAAAAATGGATTGTCGATGTACAATCATATAATTTACAATCAATAAGTGTGTAATTAATTATCTCTTGAAGCCTTCCAATATAAGTATCTATGTGGTGCAAAGCACAAAATACTGTCACTTCAAATAAACTACATATTATATCATTCACTATAGCATTCTCTGATTTCGCCTGTGTCCACAAATCTTATCTTTTCCTACACATGAAATTAAAACATTTTATTGCAGTAAGTTCAAGATTCATATGATGCAATTGAAGTATTGATTTTAACCTAAGTTTTGAGTTGCAAGGACATGTCACATAATTCACATTAACAAAACTATCAAAACATAATTACATTCCAGCCTAACATGCTTTACTGGAAAAAGAAATTGTTGTCAACCGCTTGTACTAGGAATTACAGTAGTCTTTGTGCTGACCTTGTCACTCCAAAAAGATGATATCAATGTTTACCAGATGTCTAAAGTCTCATTATTGTTCTTGAACACTTTGCAAACTTGTCCCAAACTTCTAAAAGGGGAAACTTCGAATCCAAAATAAATCTCAAGACCTAAACTTATGACAAAAAGTACACACCCATGAACACCTTAAGCCTTAAGCTCAGATACACCAAATGACAACAGCAATAAATGGCTTAGATAAAGGGGGGCAAAGAATCCTATTATAGATTTCTACACCAGAGATACCAAAAAAATGGGTGAGAAAGTGCCCAAACCTTCTTATTTTGATTGTAATCATCTTTCCAATTTGAAGTAGGGAATGCTTTTTGCAAGTGAAATATGTCAACCTGTAAAGATATGAAATGAAAGATCACGGTGGCAGGCAGTTAAATTGAACAAATTTATAACCTGTTAAATCATGATCTTATTGCTGCAAAAATATGACAGACACTACAAACTCACAGTTCCCGTAAAGTACGTAAGGAATGATAACATGATTCCGTTTTCAAGGGTTGATTGTACACGTGCATTAACCATCATGCCCGGAATGAGAAGATCAATTGAAATGCCTTTAAGCTCCTTGGTCTGTATAGAAGTACAAATTGAAGTGTTAAACAACAAAATAAATTGCTTGAGAACAGGACAATTAACAATAAAAGAATACTAATCAATGACAAGGCATACCACACATTTAGACACCACATCAGGGTCAGAACTCAGATAAACTACTTTACGAGTTTTGTCGACGCTTTTGACAACCCCTTGTAAAAGTTGTCCAATATTGACCCTAATTTCCCTGCTTTCTGCCAGAGAAGGGTAAATAAAATGAAAAAATAAAACATGTTACTAGATGAGCTGCAAATCACAAGCCACTAATGCAACCATAACAGAGTCCTCATAAACATATTACAAGTAGATTGCAACATAAGAGAGAATTCTGAGAGAGAAAATATAAAAATAAAAGGGAATAGTGTTTGATTTTTGCGAAACAAAGAATGGCCTGATCGTCATTGTGAAGCTTATACTTAATAATTTCAGGGGATATTTTTTCATAAGAAATGAAGACCTCATTCGAAAAAAAAAGAGATGCACAACAAATTTATATATACAATGAATTGTAGAGTCAAATGATCCCATCTATGGAAACCAAGGTTTCAAATAATGGTTGCAGCTACCGTAACGGCTGTGATGGCAGTGACGTGGCAGAGTGTTACGGCCGTAGTGTAATGGTTGCAGCAACTAGAACCATGAATTTATTTTTTTTCTTCATGCAATTGAAAGAAAATTGACCAATACACTTGTTTTATTTCAGAATCACATTTATTGAGATTTAAAATAGATTTTGACAAATTTTGTTTTTTTTAAAGTATTATACAATATATGCCATATTGTAATAATATCTTCCAATTACTATAAATACATTTTTTCAATAATCAATGATTTTATATATCACAAAATTACATTTGGTTAAAAAAAAAATCAATTTCACATTTAAATGTGTACAAAATTATATGTTGAATCTTGGATTAAAAAGAGAATGATTTGAAGACATCCATAAAATTATGCAAACATCCCACTTAATGTTCATAAACTAAACTCAATTCACTAAATAAATAAAAACAACGATCTAATCTAAAATTTAAAAAAAAAATTAAAAAATAAAGGCAATGTTCATAATCATACAATAAACAAAAATACTAGCAGTGTTTTTATATTTATAATTTCATATTTAATGTAATCACATTAAATAAATTGTATAGGAAAAAAATTGGCTGATAAATGACAATTTATGTAAATAATAAATAAAAGTAGAAACAGAATTGTAGATGTGGGGATATATTTTCTAAGTACCAACACGTGGCAAGGTGACGCCGACGTGTTAGCCGAGGTGCCACGTGTCCTGGTCGTGACGCCGAGGTGATCTCGGCAAGGCCGAGGTTATCTCCGAAGATATCGGAATCCGAGATAAACGGATAAGGGATCAGAGTCCTAAAATGAAGAGAAGACTTAGTCAAGATGAGGATAAATCTCTTAGAGAGTTTATCTTTATCTCTTGAGGAGTCCAAAGTAAGTACTGAGTTGGAGTCCATAGAAGTCAGGCTTCTAGTGGGACTAGGATTAAGGTAACTATAAAAGAGAGACACCCCCGTGGGTCTAAGGTACGCAAGTTTATGCTTTGAGTAGTAAGTTTAGCACTTGATTATCTTTGAGAGATATACTGACTTGATCGTCGGAGTGCCCCCGGGTGGAAGAGGCACCGCCGGAGCCTTTTCTTTCTGTTGCAGGTTAACTGGAGCCATCTATTCTGCCAATGCTTTCCCAGCTGATTACTAGGCGGGCAGTGTGATCAGAAAATTACCCACACAATAGATATTAATGACTGTTATAGATAGTGTATAACATCTCTATCATCTATCTAGAGAACATCACTCTAAAGCATATCAAAAGACAGCACTCTTTCAGATCATATCAAAAGATAGTCAATAAAAGAGAAGGTTAAAAGAAATATCTAGAAGCTAAAGCTCCCTGATGAGGTGACCCCATCAATGGCGATGGCATCCTGTTGTCTCTCGTCTTCTCTCCTTTCCTTTCAGGCTTTGTCAATCTCACTCTATCTCCCACTGACCATGCAAGTCAAAGCCCACTAGGGCCTCTAAGGTCATCTACAGGTTTGGAACCCTCTCCCTCTCTTGATCCGAGATTCTAAAGTTGTTCAAACCTTTCAAAGATAAAAATAAGGCTATAGATAATACATCTGAGGATTCTGAGGTATGTCAATAATTTTTGGTTGAAGGGCTCTAAAAACTTTGTTTTTCCAAACCAAGGATGTTTGAAGGGCCCTGAAAACTTTGTTTTTTTCCAAACCAAGCCTATTTAGAGGCTTACCTGCACCTTAATGGGACATTAAGACTGTTACTCTACCGTTACAGCAGTTACACGTGCAATTTTCTGTCACACCGCAAAAGTGGGCATAACGGGTGGCGCCTGAGACCGCAACCATTACATAGCACCGCTTTTTGAAACTTTGCCCATAACTAAGAAACAACAATATCAAAAGCTAAAGACATGCCACGAAGTATCAAATGGGAAATGTGGTTCAAGTACTACTAGGAACACGAGAAAGAGGGGTCCAGAGTTTTATGCTTGATCATGAAGAAGAAAAAAGTTCTAGGAGCGGAGTAAGGTATTCACCTTTCAATCTCAATATTTTTCTTTTCTTTTTTTCTTTTCTTTTTTTTCTAAGAAACGACCTTTGTATATAAGGTATGAGGTTCAAAATTTTCAAAAAATTCAAAATGTATTATATTGGCTCAGCACAAAAATTGAGCTCTCCTATATTATCAAGTAACTAGAGCAAAAGAGGATTCGAAAAAAAAACAAAAAAAAAATCCATCATACCAAAATGAGAACTATGAAATAAACAAATCTTTAATTTTTGCACCACTATAGACACCCCATTTTTGACCGTCCTCAAGACTTGGACATCACCGTTCGAACGCTCGGTGATCATCCATGTTCGTGTTCGTTTTGAGTTCCCGGAGGCCTCGGCCGCGCACCTTGCCTCAGAATCTCTTAACTTGCCTATTCTGTGCTTGGTTTTACACCAGGGACTTGTGTTTTGTGCTTCTGAGCGTGGGAAGAGGCTTGTTAGCCACCCCTGAAACCCACCGGCCGTGGCATAAAGCCACCGGCCTTTCCTTTTTCCTACCGACCAAATGTTTGGTCGGTCGGCACTTATCTGAGGTGTATCGGCATTTTGTGTGGTCGGCCGACCATGCATTTGGCCGGTGGTCTCCTTTTCCGGCCGGTACCACCATTTTGCCTTTTTCAGGCATTATGCATGCCAGCTGTGCCAGTTGGAGTGCACGGACATGCCCTCCATACACGTGTATGGAGGAATTTGCACCCTTTGCACCCTTTTGGTCTAGCTTCTTGGGGAAGCTTGGACCTTTGTCTTAGCTTCCTCAAGAAGCTTGGACACCTGTCTCAGCTTCCTAAGGAAGCCTTGGCCCCTTTGCCTTAGCTTCTTTAGGAAGCCTTGACCCCTTTTGATAGCTTCTCTTGGAAGCTTAGGCCTTCTGCCTTGTCTATATAAGGAGGCCTCCCTCCTCTTTTGAGGAGGTTCAGCAAAACCAGAGATAATACATATATATTTGATATATACTCCACTCTCTCTCTATATCTCCCTCTCTCTCTTCATTTGTGTGTGTTTAAGGGCCAAAAAGTGTGTTTTGTTCTTAGTTTTGCACTAAGACACATAGCATTACACCATACTTCGACTTTGGAGGTGTTGAGGGTTTGTTCTTGAAGTTTTGACCTAGTTTTGATCAGAAGAAGGGGGCTGGACTTGCTGTTCTTGAAGTGTTCTTCAAGGGTAACACTATTGCTTTATATTCCCCAATCTTGCATTAGCTTTTACCCCTCTTTGCATGCTGTTTTGAACTTTGTGTATAACTGAAAAAAGTCTTGTATTTGGATGCTTAAGATGTTTCATTAAGGTCATTTTGGTGTTGGGGGTCGACCTCCCCCTCTTAGGCCTTGTTTGGCCCTTTTGTGCCTTCTTTGGTTGAGCTTTGAATACCTTCGTGTGTTGGTCTTCTCACCACTGAAATCCAGAGGATTTTCAGTGGTCAAGAAAAGGTTTTGAGGTCTTGCATAGGGGAGGGACACCCCTCTCCCTTTGTGTCTCTTTTGTCCATGTTTTTGGCTCATAATGGTAACATGCGTGAATAGTCGTCTTTGGCTCCATTTCAAAGGTTTTTGGATGTTGTTAGGTCATAATATGCCTCTGTTTTTGGTCGGATTGATGGCCCATTTCATGCATTATACACTTACTTGCCTTGTATTCCCCCATTTTGCCTAAAAGTGCATCTTGCCATTAGACCATCATGCTTGCATGTTTTTGCCTAGCTTTGTGAAGCTTTTGGTCATGTTTCATCATGCTTGAGGTCTGTTGGGTGTTGATTTGGTCATGCCTTTCATGCTTTCTATAGTCTCTTTGCATTCTAGCATGTTGGCATCGGGTGTGCGAGTCATTAGCATGCATTATCTTGGCTATTTCAGTGATTTGGAATCACTTATTAGGTCATTTCAGTCCATGTTTTGTGCTTACATGCTTGCATTTGCTACCCTTTCAATGCCTTGAAGAGATGTGATCTTATGCTCCATGTTAGGGCCTTGGTGTATGCCTATGTGTTTGAGGCTTTGGGCTGCCATATCAGTGGGTTTTGGGGCATATTTTGATGCATAAAAACTCTGTTTTTGGTTGCTTAGTCCATGCCATGAGTGGTCATGATAGTTGTAGTAGAATGTTCCTTTTTATGCCTTAGTCTTAGGCCCCTTGGTATGCTTGTTTGCATGAGCATTTGTCCACCATTTCCACCACTTTTGGCCACTGTTTTGGGGCATGGCTGAGGCCTCCCATTTCAGTTTAAGACCACCCTTGTATATAGTTGCATGCTTAGCATGATGCATGTTGCATTACATTAGTTGCATGCTTGCATTATATCTTGTTTGCATGTTTGCATATTGTTTAGCTAAGTGCATCACATAGTCTTGTTGTATGCTTGACATGTTCATATTGCATTAGTTTAGCTTGCATGAGTAAGTAGTGTCATGTTGCATTAGCTTAGCATGCTCATATTGCCTTGCATGAGTTGCATCACTTTGCATTGTATATGGCATACATGCATTGCATCTTGTTTGGTTTGGGGTGTCAAACCAAACTTGAGGGTGTTCGTACTTAGAGTGACAAAGCACGTCTCACTCCTCAGTCGCCAATGTCCTTGACCTCAATATGATA